AGCGCTCCATCGCCCAGTCTAGCGATACTGTGTCGGTCACTATCTTTCAGGGCTGTGCCCCCGCTCAGTGCACTTACTCTGACGGTTCTGATGCTGTTGCTGAGACAGCCCCTGCTGCGGAGACAGTCGCCGTGGCTGCCGCAGCGCAGTTTCGTCCGGGTATGGGTCGCCGCCCCAAGGCTAGGCGCGGCGGAGGTAGCGGAGGTGGGGGTGGAGGTGGTTCGCCCGTTGGTAGTCCTGACGACGGGGCTGGGGCTGGTGCCTCGGAGCAGCAGCAGCAGGCGCCACAGCTGGACCAGCAGCAGCAGTAGCAGCAGCAACAGCAGCCGCAGCAGCGGCGGGTCGGTCGTCTCCCGCCCGGGTGGCCTGGCGCCAGTGGTGGAGGTAGTCGCAGTGGTCGTGCACGCAGCGTGACGTAGGGTGGTGGTCCAATTGACGGGCACTGCCTGTACCAGCTCCCGACCGGTCCTCGCCGCGGCCTCGTGTGCGGTAAGATTGGCCATACCCCCACTTGTTGTTTCAGTCGCCTAGACGACCTATTTCGTCTCCGCTTCGGCCCGGCGCCAGACCTCCCCGACTGGCACAGTCTGCTCCGCCATGGTGTTAGGATCATTGGTATGGACTTGACAAGATTAGCTCTACTTTGTATGTGTTGTACGTCGATGACTCTAGTGTGACTAGTTCCTATTACCCCTTGTTGCCTAGTGTAGGTGTGTCTAGTTCAGGCGTAGCATCCCCTGCTTTAATTAGCCTTGGCTCCACCCTCGCTCCTCCTACACCTGCCGTCACTGCCGCGCTCTCCTTCACCGCTTCCCGATGTTTCTTACGGGACTCCACTACGCTTATGCCGCTTGCCACTCCAGCCGCAGTTGCCCTTGCAGACCCTTCCTCAAGTCCTGTAGTTGCCTGTAGCTCCACCACCCTTCCCTGTCCGGCGGTTCCTTTGGGCTCCCTTACAGGCCTCCACATTCCCTCGTTCTGTAGGAACCTAGTTGGCTGCCTCCAGGATCTTGGCATCACCACTAAGTTCCCTGGTCACGAACGGTATGCTGTCTGTACTGAGGCCGCCACTGGTGCTCCCCTCACCACGTTCCCCAGGGACCCAGTGTCTGGCCTGTTCACGGTGGACACCACGTCCCCCCCGGCTGGGACGTCTCCCTAGGTGTTTGCGTCTACCGAGGTTGCTGCGGCTTGCTAGTGTCGGTCGCTTACTCACCGGATGCTTCTATGGCACCACCATCTAGGTCACCTTTCCCTTACATGATTTCGTCACATGTCTCACCACGGTCTTGTCTTAGGTCTCCCTGAGTCTTTCCCTGTGCTACCCTCCTCACCAGCGCCGCCGTGCACGCCCTGCATTGAGGGCCGGCTCCGCCGTGCCCCTTACTCATCCTCGTTCCCCCCCACCGCCGCACCGCTGCAGACACTGCACATGGACGTCTGGGGTCCTGCCCCTGTCCATGGGCCGCGTCGAGAGCGCTACTTCCTAGTGCTTGTCGACGACTACACGCGCTACACCACGGTGTTTCCCCTGGAGCGGAAGGCTGATGTGCCTGACGTTCTTATCACGTGGCTTGTCTCTGCGCTGTTCACCGAGGTCTCCCTGTGTTGCGTCTTCACTCCGACCGTGGTGGCGAGTTCGCCTCTGGCTGCCTTGGTCGCTTCTGTCGTGCGGAGGGCATCACCCAGACGTTCACCCTGTCAGAATCCCCGTAGCACAATGGGGTCACTGAGCGACGCATCGGTTTGGTCATGGAGGTGGCTCGTACCTCCATGATCCATGCCAGTGCACCCCATTTTCTGTGGCCGTTCGTTGTTCGCTACGCCGCTTACCAGCTTAACCTGTGGTCGCACACTCAGCAGCCGTAGGTTTCGCCGACCCTCCTTTGGATCGGGTCCATTGGTGACACGTCTGCGTTCCACGTCTGGGGCTGCCTTGCTCACGTTTGTGCCTCTGGCACGGCCAAGTTCACTGCCCGCACCTTCCCCTGTGTCTTCTTCGGTTTCTCCCTCGATTCGTCTGACTGGCACTTTTACCACCTGCCGTCTCACCACTTCTTTCACTCCCGCGACGTCACCTTTGACGAGTCCGTCTCCTTCTACCACCGCTTTCCCAACCGTGGTCCCCCCGTTTACCCCCCCTGTTCCTTATTCCCCCTCCCCCGGTTGCCCTGGCTCTCCCCCGTCCCCTCCCTGCCCCGTCTGGTGTGTCTCACATCACCCCTCTCCCGTCGGGTGTCCCTGCCGAGGAATCTGCTGACTCTCGCAGCTCTACGGAGTCCCTCCTTCCGCCCCTCCCAGCCCTGGTCTCTTCTCCCCCGTCATCGCTGTTGCTGTCACCACCGCAGCCACCTCCGCCGCTGCCATTGCCGCCGCGACAACAGCCGCCGTCGTCACCGCCGCTAGGGTTCGTGTGTTTTGGGGGTGTTGGGGAGCGTGCTGGAGCGAGTACTGGAGCGGGTTCCTGTTCTGGGGGTGCTGGCGTGGAGGTTCTCGGAGGGAGCCGTGCTGTCGCTGGAGGTGCTGGAGTTGGAGTCCAGCAGCAGTCGCAGCAGTCGCCGCCAGTGTCCGCTCTTCGCCTTCTCGGTCTTCCTTCCCCTGACTGCCTGCTAGTGCCTCCTCCTCCGCCAGTCTACGGCCCAGTGTTCCTCCCCCGGACTCCTCTCCGGCTCGTTTCCCTCCTTGTTCTCCTTCTGTGTCTCCTCCTCTCTCTCCTAACCCGACTCCTACGTCTCACATCGGGTCTTGTCGTCCGTCTCATGCTCGTCCTACCTCCCCTGTTCCGCGGTCTCACCCTATGTTGCTTCGCTCCCACACGTCTCGTGCTCCTCCGCTCCTCCCATCTCGTCCTCCGTCGTCGCTTGCTGTGGCCCCGCCCCTGTTCTCTGACTTCTTCCATGCTACGCGTCCCCTTGTTCCTCATGTCCTTGCCTCTCTTGTTACTGACCCGTCCTTTCCTGTCTCAAGTCTGTTGGCTCTTATCGATGATGTCACTGACTTCGCCGCTACCTGCTGCATTGAGTATGCTACCGCTCTAGACTCTGACCCTGCTTGCCCTCCGTCCGTCGGGGGTGTGGCTGCTCTTGGCAGTATAGTCCTAGAGGACAGGTAGTATGAGCTCACTTTCCTGTCTAAGGCCGCTCCCCATCTCTGTTCCATGCTGCTAGTCCCTAAGGGTGACCCAGACGCCATTGACATCCCGACCCCTCACATCTACGCTGAGGCCACCTCGGTACCCTGGGCCTCTCAGTGGATAGCTGCCATGGAGCAGGAGATGGCATCTTGGAGATCCACCGGTACCTTCGTCGACGCAGTTCCCCCACCTGGGGTGAACGTAGTCGATGGCCGCTAGCTCTTCGAGGTGAAGCGCCCTCCTGGAGAGCCACCTATCTTCAAGGCGCGCTACGTTGCTCGAGGCTTCAGTCAGCGTGAGGGGGTGGACTTCTTTCAGACCTTCGCCCCGACCCCGAAGATGAATACTCTTCGGGCACTGCTACACGTAGCAGCAAATCGTGACTATGAGTTACACTCCCTCGACTTCTCCACAGCTTTCCTCCAGGGCAATCTACACGAGCAGGTCTACCTGCGCCGCCCCCAGGGCTTCTCCGGTACCTTTCCCTCTGGTACCGAGTGGCTCCTCCGGTGCCCCGTCTACGGCTTGCGACAGGCGCCCCGTGAGTGGCACGACACAATGCGTGCTACACTTGCTGACCTGCATTTCTTCCCGTCCTTTGCAGACCCCTCGCAAATCGTCCGTTCTGGCCAGACTCCGTTCTATATCCTTGTCTACGTAGACGACTTGGTCTCTGCTATTACAGACAGAGACGCGCTGGCCACCGTGAAGGCCGAGCTGCTGGGAAGACACACCTGCGCTGACCTAGGAAAGCTGCGCCGCTACCTTGGCCTGCAGATCTCCAGGGATAGAGCAGCGCACACCATCACTCTCTCACTGTCACACTTGGTGCGCCAGGTCCTTCAGAGGTTCAGCCTTCCGTTCTCTTCCGCACAGCCCACCCCTCTGCAAGTAGACCACAGACTCTCGGCTCCAGTCCCGGAGGAGGCTGTAGAGCCTAGTGGTCCCTACGCATAGCTAGTGGGTTGCCTCATGTACCTGATGACTTGCACTCGTCCAGATCTCGCATACCCTCTCAGCATCCTGGCTTGCTTTATGGCCACCGGTAGACACCGACCATAGCACTGGTCGGCAGCTAAGAGGGTTTTGCGTTATCTAGCAAGTACATCGGGCATGGGGCTAGTACTAGGAGGACGCAGACCAGTGGTCCTTACTGGACACACAGACGCTTCTTGGGCAGACGACGCCGAGACTCTCAGGTCCTCCCAGGGCTACTGCTTTAGCCTTGGTTCAGGTGCCATCTCATGGAGGTCCACCCGCTCCTCGTCTGTTGCCCAGTCTAGCTGTGAGGCTGAGATCTACGCCGGTGCCATGGCGGCACAGGAGCTCCGCTGGCTGACCTTCTTGCTCACCGACTTAGGTGAGCGGCCTAGCTCTGCCCCGGTTCTGTGCGCTGACAACAGGGCCATGATCCTCCTGTGTCAGGAGCCACGACTTGAGGGCAGAGCGAAGCACATCCAGTTGCGGTACTTCCTTCTGCGTGAGCTACAGCAGCGTCGCCAGGCCTCCGGTGGCAACACAGCTGATATCTTTACGAAGGCGCTTGCGCCTAAAGATCATCAGCGGCACTGTGTACAGCTAGGTCTCGTTCCTGTAGCCTCTCATTTGCTAGGACCTTGATTGTGTACAGACCTTAATACATATAACCCTGACTGGCCTTGTGGCCTCTTCCCAGTAGCTGGACTAGTAGTGCCGCCCTGGTCTCACTCTTGCCTTGTTTGTACTCGTTTGACTGGTCTTTAGACCTTTGCCTCAGAGGCTGGACTGGGAGTGCCACCCTGAGTTGCTTGTCTCTCACTGGGCATTGCCCCTATCCAGTCTAAGGGGTGTGTCAAACATATCCTTGTATGTTATTATAGACTACACAAGATTGTACCTTAGAGAGTACAATCCACTAGGTTATATTCCCTTGTATGCCATGGCTCTATCAATTCGTTAAATTTGACACTCTGGTGTGCTCACTAGCAGTGCATACATGTATTCTATGGTGAACCGTGCACCTCCTACTGATCCCTGGCGACTATCTGCGCAAGCACCTGCTCTAAATCCCTCAGCCGTATCGGCTTGGCTAAGAACCCATCCATGCCCGCATCCGCGCACTTGTCTCTCTCGTGCTTCATTGTGCTCGCAGTCACCGCGTATATGGTCGACCGCTGAACCACCTTCTCTTGCTGTGTCCTCTCTTCGTCCCCTCTCAGTACTTCAATTATCCCAGGAGCATCTGGGGCTTCGGTTAGATGAGAGTTGGAGACCCGGGTGGTGGTATTAGTGTTTGTGACCGGGGTTGTATTAGTGTTTGTGCTAGGGATGTGAGCGATATGGGCGTTGGACTGTAGCTGTCGGATGCGAGTGGTGGCTTCAAACCCGTCCATCACTGGCATGTGGCAATCCTGCAAAGAGGATGAAAGGAAGGGGAGATGGGATGGGTAGCAATGAGGAACACGGAAGGGGGGATGCATTGGGAGTGAGTGGCAGCCCACTTGACGCTGGAGGGCAGGGCAAACGAGGGCGCTAATTTTTGCTTTTGAGTCGACTCAAAAGCAGACTCATTACACGCGCTGGAGAGCAGGGCAAACGAGGGCGCTATTTTTTAGGCACAAGCACTGACCAGATGACGTGGTAGTTGGTGGTATAAAGGGGGCCTTATAACGAGTGTTAGGGAAGCACGAGCGCTGACTATGAAGATGGCGTGGAACTTGGTGGCAGGAGGTTGGGGGTGGGGGGGGGAGATGACAGAGGAGAGTGAGGAGATGGGACTGACTGGGAAGCACGAGCACGGACCATGAAGATGACGTGGTAGTTGGTGGCGGTGCAGGCCTCCACGGCCTTGCGGCCGTTCTCTGCCACGTCGCACGCCACTCGCAGGTTCCTCAGCAGCTGCACCACCACCATGCGGTTCACCGCGTTGTCCTCCACCACCAGGCACCGCAGCCCCTCAAACCCCGTGCTCCTGCCGCTGCGCCCGCTCCCGCTGCTCCGGCGGCCGCCCTTGCTATTGCTGTTGTTGTGAGATAGAGAACTCGCCAGTGATAGACCACCTCGCCCCCAGCTCCTATTTTCAGCTCCTGCCTCTTCTTTCTTTTTCCCATGCTCTTCCCTCAAACTTTCCTCCCCTTCCTCCACTTCCTCCTCTTCCATTTCCACCCCTTCCTCCTCTTCCTCCTCTTCCTCATCATCTCCCTCCTCCTCTCCCGCTTCCCCCTCTTCCCCCTCTTCCCCACTGGAGCCCCTCAGTCGCTTCCTTTGCCCTTCCAGGTCACCCTGCTCTGCTCTCCGTTTCGCCCCCAAGCCTCCTGCCACCCCAGTGCTCCCTGGCTGCTGCTGCTGCCGCTGCTGCTGTGGTGGCGGCTGCTGCTGCTGTAAACCTGCCCCTTCCCTCCCAGCCCTCTCAATCCCCTCTCCCTGCTCTTCCACTACAAAATCCGACCTCCTTTCTGCCCGCTTCTCTGCCCCTGCCCCTCTTCCGCGCTGCAAATCAACCACTACGCTCTTCGTCTCTACACCCGCTATGGTCCTCGCCACCCCTTCGTTACAAACCCCTAACCCTGCCAAACCACTCCTCACCCCCTCCTCCCTTGGCTGCTGGAAAATCCCCCCTCCAGAGCGAGCAGCAGCAACAGCAGCAGCAGCAGGGGCGAAGGGCAGGGAGAGGGAGAAGGTGGAGCCTTGGTGGGGCGTGGAGGTGACGGAGATGCAGCCCCCCATGAGTGACGCCAGCGAGCGGCAGATGGACAGACCCAGGCCCGTGCCGCCATGCTTGCGGCACGACGAGTCGTCCACCTGCCAGAAAGGGGCGAATAGTCGAGACATCGCGTCTGCCGACAGACCCATACCCGTGTCCTTCACGTCGATTCTCACCCACACCCGCCCTTCCCCGTCCTCCGTTATCCCTCGTTCCTTCCCGCCTCCCCCGTCTCTCCCTCCCGTCCGGTTTGCTCCCGTTTCTCCTGGCTCTTGGGCCTGGTTGGTCGGCGCATGGGCGTGGAAGGACAGGATGGAGACGGCCGCAGCATCGGCTGCAGAATCAGCGGCAGCGGAGCTTGCTACAGCAGCGAACTCCGTATCCTCCTTGCACCTCGCGCCTTCCGCTGTATCTCTTGCCCCAGCAGCAGCGGAGCTTGCATTCCCTGCATCTGGTGCAGTGGAGGCTGCATTCCCTGCATGTGGTGCAGCAGAGCTTGGTGCAGCGGAGCTTGCTACAGCAGCGTGCTCTCTGTCTTCCTTGCATCTCTGGCCGTCGTCAGCCTCTGGTGCAGCGGCTGCTGCTTCGAAAGCGGGCTGCTCCAGTGCTGCTGCTACAGCTGGTGCATCTGATAGCTCCATTGCCTCCGCTGCTCCTGATGCAGAGGGCACAGATACAGCTGTAGCTGTAGCTGCTGTGTCTGCATCACCTGCTGCTGCTACAGCTGGTGCTACAGCTGGTGCCAGAGCTGGTGCTACAGCTGGTGCCACAGCTGGTGCCACATCTGGTGCCACAGCTGGTGCCACAGCTGGTGCTACAGCTGGTGCTACAGCCAGGGCATCAGACACTCTTGAGGGGCACGAGAGCGAGGCAGCAGCAAGGCCAGCCTCAGCCGCAGCGAGCGAGGCGGTGGCGGGAGTGAGCACCCACGGCTCATTCAGTATGCGGTCCAAGTCCTCCCGCACACGCGCACTCACCTCATCTTCCTCTGCCTCTGCCATGTCTCCCCTCCCCCCTCTGCCTTCACCACGACTGCCTCCTTCTGCTGATGCTGCTGCTGCTGCTGCTGCTGCTACCTCAGTTCCTGCTGCTGCTGATTTCGGTGTGCCAGGTAAACACCTTCCTTCATGCCTTGGTTGGTCCCCCTCCCTCTCCTGCTCACCTCCACAATCAGTTGACTCCCGACCCCTTTCCACCTGTCCCGCTACAGGCCTCTCTGCCTCTCCTGCCACCCTTGTCTCTGCATCAAAACCAGGAGAAGCCACCTGAGGATGACTTTTACCATTTTCCTTTTCAAAGGGGTTGGAGCACACAGCGACCGTGAGGTCCACGCGGCCGGCGTCGGTGAACTTGATGGCGTTGGAGAGCAGGTTGAGGAGAATCTGCCGCACCCTCAGCTGATCGCCCTCCACCCACGCCGGCACGCCCACGCCCATCCGGCTGCATAGCTGCACAACGCAGTTTAGGAATACGTCAGTGTATGAGAAAATGACATGAGAAAAACATACATCCAGAGCACATGTATGATAAAATTCCTGTATAAATATTTTACGTATATATATATACATATATATATTTTTCCAATGCAAAACATTCTTTGTCTTTGGTAGTATGCTCAGCATATGTAATTTCATGTATTGTAATTAATGTTACACCATGACGCAAACAAAAAATGCAAATCATTGATCTATATGCATAAATTAATAAATGAGAATGTGCAGCGATCATATGCATCATGTTTCTCACCTTGAGTTTTTTGCCTTGTGCGGCGATCCTCACTGCCTCAACGGCCTCGTTCACGGTGTGGTGAAGGTTGAACGGGGAGCAGTCGAGGACGAGCGAGTGAGTCTCGATTCTTGATATATCGAGGACGTCTGAGATGATGTGGATGAGGGCGTTGCCAGACGACGAAATCACGTCCACGTAGGAGCGCTGCTGCGGGGAGAGCGGCGTGCGCAGCAGCAGGTCGGCAACGCCGATGACGCCGTTCAAGGGCGTGCGCAGCTCGTGGCTCATGTTCGCCAGAAACCGGTTCTTCGCCTCGCTGCCCGCCTCTGCCGCCTCCTTGGCCGCCTTCAGCTCCTCCTCCTTGCGCTTCATGTCCGTTATGTCGTGCCACACGCTTACATAATATGAAATCCCATTAACCGCCACGACCTGGGAAGATAGGGGGAAACCAATTCTACGGAATTAGTGAATGACATAACAGAGAGATCGGTAGAAACTGTGAGAGAGTGATATATATGTACGCATATACACATATATGCATATATATGTATCTACATGTATACATGTATACACACACAAACGAAAGGGGTCTTTTTCACCACGCCGATTCACAATCTCACTCACCTTGCCCTCGACAAACACGGTGCACTACTTGCCATCCCCCACTCAAAGGGCGGCCCCTTCACTTCACCCAGCCCAGGGTGCTCTCTAATATCCCCCTAGAGAACTGGGCGGCCCCTAGACAATTCACCAAAGCTTTCTTGCCTTTGCCCTCACTCACCTTGCCCTTGACGAGCACGGTGCATGCGCAGCCATCCAAGGAAAACATGTCTCACTCAACCCCTGTGCCCAGGATGCGCTCTCATTCCGCCATCAAGACCTTGCCAGGCAAAGGAGCATGCACCTTGCCTTGTCTTATGCCCTCACTCACCTTGCCTTGATGAGCACGGTGCATGCGCAGCCATCCAAGGAAAACATGTCCCACTCAACCCCTGTGCCCAGGATGCGCTCTCATTCCGCCATAAAGACCTTGCCAGGCAAAGGAGCACGCACCTTGCCTTGTCTTATGCCCTCACCCACCTTGCCTTGATGAGCACGGTGCATGCGCAGCCATCCAAGGAAAACATGTCTCACTCAACCCCTGTGACCAGGATGCGCTCTCATTCCGCCATCAAGACCTTGCCAGGCAAAGGAGCACGCACCTTGCCTTGTCTTATGCCCTCACTCACCTTGCCTTGATGAGCACCGTGCATGCGCAGCCATCCAAGGAAAACATGTCTCACTCAACCCCTGTGCCCAGGATGCGCTCTCATTCCGCCATCAAGACCTTGCCAGGCAAAGGAGCACGCACCTTGCCTTGTCTTATGCCCTCACTCACCTTGCCTTTGACGAGCACGGTGCACGCGCGGCCATCCAAGGAAAACATGTCCCACTCAAAGGGCTCCACGCCACCCCCTTTCATAATGCCGTCCAGGATCTCCAAGAAATACTCCAAACTCTGCCGCCCGTTGGGCTGGAACTCGGGCGACTGCTTGACGATGCTCATGCTGGCGAGCGCCGCCTCTTTGGAGGGGTACCCCATGATCTGGACCGTGGCGTCGTTGCACTCGCGCAGAGTGAAGTCGGGTGTCGTGAACACCTGAATGGGGTCCTGTTGAGGTGGGTGGGGGGGAGGAGGAAGAGGGAGGAAAGAGCGATGGAAGAGATAGAAGGGCGCAGTGTGAAGTCATATAGTGAACACCCGAATGGGGTCCCTGGGCGGGGGATTGGGGGAGTGAGGGGGAGAGGGGGGGAGGGAGGAGGGAAGGTGGGGAAATAGAGCGATGGAGGTGATGGGAGAGGAGGCATGGAGATGGAGTAGAGCTCTCATCTCACGGTTCGCACGTATGGCTCGCACGTATGGCTATGGCTCGCACGTAGAGCTGTCGTGGTTCGCACCGTGGCGTCGTTGCACTTGGGGAGCGGGGCGCCTGCCCTGGTGAAGGTGAACAGCTGAATGGGGTCCTGGGGGGCATGGGGAATGCGGAACGACAGTTCGGGGGGATGGGGAACGCGGAACGACAGTTCGGGGGGTGGGGGGGAGGAGGGGGGGGGGGGAGGGATGGAGGGATAGGGCAAGAGACATGAGAATGGAGAGATGCGGGCATGGCGAGGGAACCAGATGGCAGCACTTAGGTACACCTGTTCTACGGACCAGTCCGGCCGTTTTTTCATGCAGCTCGAGACAGAAAACAAGGAGTCGCATATAGGAGGTCAAAGATGGCTCGTTGACTCACAATGGAGAGGTCAAAGATGGCTCGTTGACTCACAATGGAGAGGTCAAAGATGGCTCGTTGACTCACAATGGGGAGGTCAAAGATGGCTCGTTGACTCACAATGGAGAGGTCAAAGATGGCTCGTTGACTCACAATGGGGAGGTCAAAGATGGCTCGTTGACTCACAATGGAGAGGTCAAAGATGGCTCGTTGACTCACAATGGAGAGGTCAAAGATGGCTCGGAACTTGGCATTCTCATGGCCCAGCTGCAGCGCTGCCTTCACTCTCTCCATCAGCCACTCCGCCTCCCTCCACAGACACACGCGCTCGTCGCCCTCCCCACCGCCATCCCCACCATCACCCCCACCAGCATCGCGCCCACCAGCATCGTGCCCAGCAGCATCACCACCAGCACCCGCACCAGCACCCGCACCAGCACCAGCATCACCAGCAGCACCAGCAGCAGCACTGCTGGCAGAGGCACCCCGTTCAGAAGCAGCGCCAGGGGGAGAGGCGCCAGGCGGAGAGGCAGCAGAGGGAGAGACGGCATGAGTGGGAGCACTCTGACCGCCGTCTGAACCTGGTTGGGGCGGTGCGGCATGTGACGGCGTGGCCAGCTGCGCGCACTCCCTCAGCTGCTGCAGCATGAGCACCTACGAGGAGAGGGGAGAAGGGAGAGGGAGGTAGGTAAAACGAAGAGGGTGGGGGGGAGGAGGGGAGGGATGAGGTCGAGGGACCAGCTGCGCACACTCCCTCAGCTGCTGCAGCATGAGCACCTACGAGGAGAGGGGAGAAGGGAGAGGGAGGAGAGGAAGGCAGGGAAGACGAGTGGGTGAGGATGACGAGGAGGGGCAAGCTGCGCACTCTCCCTCGGCTGCTGCAGCATCGGCACCTGCTCTTGAGCGAGCGGAGGGGGAGCGAGGGAAGACGAGAGATTGGCTGCGCACATTGTCCCACAGCTGCTGCGAGCAATTGCTGCGAGCAGGAGCAGGAGCTGTGAGGACTGCTTGCGTAATCGCAAGCAGCAGCAGGAGCTGTGAGGACTGCTTGCGTAATCGCAAGCAGCAGCAGGAGCTGTGAGGACTGCTTGCGTGCTCGCAAGCAGCAGCAGCAGGTGGTGCTGGCGAGTGGGATGAAAGGGAGAGGGAAGGAGGGTGACGAGAGTCGGAGGGGAAGGTCTAGTTTTGAGGCGCCTCAAAACTGCTGGCGAGTGGGATGAAAGGGAGAGGGAAGGAGGGTGACGAGAGTCGGAGGGGAAGGTCTAGTTTTGAGGCGCCTCAAAACTGCTGGCGAGTGGGATGAAAGGGAGAGGGAAGGAGGGTGACGAGAGTCGGAGGGGAATGTCTAGTTTTGAGGCGCCTCAAAACTGCTGGCGAGTGGGATGAAAGGGAGAGGAAACGCGGGTGACGAGAGGCGGAGGGGAAGGGGGAGCGGGGAGAGGTGGACGATCAACAAGTGAACAGGGAGGGAGGGGAAGGTCGTGCGAGGGAGGACGGGGGGAGGGGAAGGTCGTGCGAGGGAGGACGGGGGGAGGGGAAGGTCGTGCGAGGGAGGACGGGGGGAGGGGAAGTGGGGGAATGATCGGGGGGAGGGTAAGATGGGGGTTTGTTGATGCGGGGAAGGGGGGGTGTGGGGAAGGGAGAAGGGCATGCAGCAAGGAGGAGCGGTAGAGATGTTCACACTGCATTGCGTTGCGTAGTATGACGTTCCCAACAGGCTCATGACGTGTCCTGCATGTGCGCCAACCGATACCTTTCACAGTTCTCAGCCACTGCTAAAGCCCTCCCAGCCAGTTCACAGTTAAAGCCTTCTCACCTGGCGCAGCCGCTGCTCCGTGGCGTCAAGGAAGGTGCAGAGAACCATCCTCTGATCATCCCCACCGCTTTCACCTGGCGCATTCTTTGCTCTCCCAACGCTGCTAGCGGCGTCCTTAGCACCTGAAGCTGTGCTGGTGCTGGTGCTAGTGCTTCTATCCTCCTTAGTGCCTGAAGCTCTGCTGGTGCTACTTCTACCATCCTTAGCACTCGCACCACGCGCGGCTAGTGACGCAGACACCTCAAACCACCGCCACTCACTCGCTCCTCCCCTTTCCCCTCTCCCCCCCCCTCTCTTCTCCTCTCCCGGCTCTTCGCCCATCTCCGCTTCCCCTGACTCCCCCGCCTCTCCCCCCTCCCCCACTAACTCTCCCCCCGTTCTCCCCTCGACCGCCCCTCTCACTGCCAGCCGCACCCAGACCTGCCGCTTCCGCCTACTGCTATCCGCCGCGCACTCCCCCACAGCTGCCTGCGGGGCGGAGCAGAGGGATGGGGGGTGGGGAGATTGGGGAGGGGGAGAGGGAGATGGAGGGATGGGGAGTAGAGTTTTGAGGCACCTCATAACTCGTCTTTCACCTCGAGCGAAACCCCAATGATCTCTGCGATTGCCACCAGCATTCTGTCCTACTATGTACTTTTATTGCAGATCCAAAATTTACTGTTATATTACTACTATTCTCGAGAGAGCAGGGGAACGATCCGGTCCAAAATCACTTCCGCGGCTCACCTCGCTTCCGTGGCTCGCCTCGCTTGCTCAGCTCACCTCAAACGCGGCTCTGTCGGAAGGGTGGACCAGCGACTGCACGCGCTTTCCTGACAGTTCGCATTTCGGCAGAACGAGCACATCGGATAGCGCAGCGCTGAAGCCAGCAGCGAAAGGGAAGGAAGGGAGCAAAGGGGGGAGGTGACACGTCAGACCGTTCGATCTCCACAAAAAGGGGAAGGTGACACGTCAGACCGTTTGATCTCCAGAAAAGGGGGAAGGTGACACGTCAGACCGTTTGATCTCCAGAAAAGGGGGAAGGTGACACGTCAGACCGTTTGATCTCCACAAAAGGGGGAAGGTGACACGTCAGACCGTTTGATCTCCACAAAAGGGGGAAGGTGACACGTCAGACCGGTTGACCTCCACCGCGGAAGCAACGCGAGGATGATGACGCTAAAGTTGTATGCTTCTTTTTAGAATCCCAAAAAATACCTTCAATTCCGAGGATGATGACAGGCTAAAATAGCTATTCTCGGATATTACTATCCTCGGAGGACCCTAGCCGCCAATCCAGCCGGTGTGCCGGCGTTTTAAGCGGCATTCCAGTTTCTCCAGAGGATACTCAATCCTCTAATTTCCACACGATTTTTTCCCCAACAACTGTACTAGTACCTGCACTGTGCTATCCGCTGCTCCCTCGCGTCCCCGCCGCTCACGGCCACCAGCACAGCGGGAACGGCCTGGAGGAGCGAACTCTTGAGAATGTCCAATACATTTCCAGCCATGGCGGCCCTGAATCTGCTGTGATACTGTACGAAGACTACGCATGCGCTGTTGCTAACATACTATCATCTTAGGAGTGACTATGACTAGTTTTCCTATCACAACTTGAAGCCTAGCAACTGAGGCAACGGATTTTGAAAAAGGCTTGAGAAAACGTCCACTCATGGTTTGAAAAGAGAAGTGAGCCAGCTTCCAATCATGGTTTGAAAAGAGAAGTGAGCCAGCTTCCACTCACAGGTCTTGGCGTCTTTACAGCCTGGAGGTAAGGGTTAGGAGGTTGGATTCGGGCAGGAAGAAAGCTTGGGAGGAGAGAGAGGCAGGTGCGGGGAATGGAAGCTGGCTTGAGCGAAGAGTTGCGAGGGGGTAATTCCACTGGTAACACTCACAGGCGAAAGTGATACGCAGCAGAGCTGGGGGGAGGTTGGGGATGGTCAGCAGGGCACGTGTTAACAGGGCAATTACCCTGACTTGATTAAAATCCAAGGACCGACCGACCGATCCTGTGTTCTACATAACTTTTCCCAGGCCAGCCCTGAAGAGCTGAGAGTAATGTTTCTAGTCACCTGTAGAGTCCGGGAGGGTTCTGGGTGGACCCGGACACTAGGGTAGCCTCCAGGAGGTGTTAGAATATCTCTAGGTCTCTAGTACTCCCTTTCCCCCTTAGCCCCACCCTTCCCTCCCCCAAACGTGGGGAAAGTTGTATAACGGCAGGGATTCGAATAGCTTAAAATTGAATATTGACAGGGTTCCTGTACGTTTCTGTGTGTTGCTATCGATATTTATACGATTCAGTGCGGTAGTAATTCGAACAAATAAACCTTGGGAAATGAACCACGCCATAAGCTGCCAAGGAGCTAGAACTACCTGTATTTCCCCGTACTACCAGATCAATGGTCACTTAGCAGCAGGTTTTAAAATGAGCTACCACTCAAAACGCCCTTCCCCCCACCCCCCTTTTCCCCACCCCTCCTGGCCCAAATTTAGCTCCTTCACAGGTGCGTCTGTGGTGGCGGATTTCCCACCCCGAAGTACTCCCACTCGCAATCCCACTGTCTCGTCCCAAACAAAATGCCCATACTCTATCAGGCCTTTTCGAACGCGGACCCTGAAGACTCAAGGTAATTCATTTACGAAGACGGCTTTTACAGGGCGATTTTTCGAGGAGCACGGATCGTCCGAGGTGGCAAAAAACCTAGCAAGAGCCCTGATGGTCAGTCACTGCAGCTGGGGTGCGGGAAGGGAGGCAGCTTGTGCAGCGGTTAGATCGGATTCGGCATTGCTTGCCTCGTCTTTGTCCGGTACAACCCATGCCAAATCCAGTATCCGTACCCGATCCGCGGCTCATCGAATCAATATTTTGATCACGTGGCATTGTAACGGAGAGGGGGGAGGAACAAGGGCCGTGGTCCATTCAATTTTAAAATCCCCGGATGGTTTCTAGAACACTCCAGAAGCATTCTGGATAGAAGCAAAGATTAAGTACAGCACTTGTGGTCCAGACTTCTTGTTGGTGCAAAAAGGGGCCCGATAGTCATGCAAAAGTTTCGAAAACAAAAACGTTCAGGAATGCGGACCCTGACGGGGAGAATGTAATTGAAATTAAAAATAATCCAGAAACTACTACAGTTCACCGGTTGCGCATCGCTGGCCCTCGGTTTAGACGAACCGCGTGGGCGTAATGCACGCGTTTATTTCACGAGCTTTCGCCACGGCAGAACGGGCCATAAAGTGGACACGAGTCGTTTCGCACAAACGTAAACCTGGTTGTCAGAATTTTTGACTTGTGTAGGAATTAAACATGATCCCTCTTACAGATATCCGAGCTACTCACACAATCACGGCTAAGGACCCATTGATGTATACAACCTACTCTTACCCCGTAGTGTATACGCACATCGCTGTTCAACATGAAACGACCCAAAAGAGTGTATTGTACAAGATAGCGCCCAGATTCTGCACAGACCAATGGGATGCGTCCCAACGCTTACGTTAGCGAAGAGACATAGCCTAACGAAGTTAGTAAAAGGCTTCTCGTCAGCTAGTGAGCTTTTGATCTGCCACGTAAACATGGAGGTTTGTAGTTGCAACAGAAGCTAATGTTCAAATGGATGAACATTTGAACACATCAGCGTTTGCCAGCGCAATTCACCAGGGTGTTCCACGAACTTCAAACGCACGGGTACTGTATGAATCCAGCCACATCAATCTGAACAACCACGAAGCCACACCCTGTAACCCCACCCATATACGCTTTCGCCCAACAGCAAAAATGACTGCTCCGCGCTCCCGTTGCTTGCGTCGCCTGCACAGGAGGGCCCGGATTTTGCTCGACATGAAGCGCCGGTAACATGACCCGTTTGATGCGGGTTAGAAGTTTCTCGCGCTGGTTACCTTAGGCCACACCGCAACGGACGCACCCAGGCTGCCCGAACCAAATGACTAGCGTTCGGCTGCTCCCGCCCCGGAAGTGTACACGCCCTTTTTTCCCGGCGTTTTTGGCCGGAGGATACATGCACGCAGCGCGAAAAACATTTGCGTGCTTGAATCGTAGAACATCCGTGATTCTAAATATACCCTCTTTCAAGATATGTGAGATGTGCATTCCGGTGCGTCACGACGATGCGCGCTTTTTGTGGAAATTTAAAGGGGGGGCCGTATTTGTTGAAATTCTTCGCAAGGACATGCTGGCCTCCTTTGTGTCGCAGGTGCCACAAATCCCAGGTGAGTGGGCCATCAGATGAAAGGGCTGTTGCCCGTGATTGGTGACGAATGGACGCAGAATCGGGGGTGGGCCCGGTCAAATTTCCAGGACTCGCTGGACACCTGGTGTATGAGCAACTCCTCTCGCAAGCCCCGATGCTTCCAGAAGCATCACGCGCAGTCTCAGGTCAGGATGGAACCACAAGAGCAGGGCATATTTCACGGGCAACTACCCGGATTTTGACAAAATAACGGGTGATTTTCGACCGGAATCGGATTGCGACGTGTTCGATTTTCACAAGCCCGGATTCTCATGGGTATATTTCGACCAGAACCCTGGAAGTGCGTGTTAGGCTTTGGCAAACATGGATACTAGAACTTCTCACACCACCCCACCCCCCGATTCCCCCCTCCATTCCCTCTCCTCAGGGCAAATCAGCCCAGCAACAAAGTTCTCAGAGATAGATTTAGAAGAACTGAGAGGAATATTTTTACGCGGTTCCCTTTGTAGAACCCAGGAACTTTTCGTTAAAGCGTTTGTAATCACGGATCCCACGGAAGTGCTATTTCTTTCCTTCCCGGATTTCGATGAGTAGCTTTTCACATACACCCGTTTTATCCGGGTCCCACGGAAGAGATAACCGGATCTGCCGTGTGGACGAAAACCCTAAGGTAAGCCCTGCACGCAAGCCACACCTGGCGCATATGGTCAGCAAACTGTTTGTGGTGATGATGTGAAGCAAATGGAAGGAAGGGATGCTTCCCTTGCCGCCTACCATCAGCTCGAATCTTTTGCAGCGAATCTGGGCGGCACGAGTCATGCTCAAATCTTTTGTACGCACGACGAAAGCTGAAGATACGCGCATCCATAGCAATACGCAAGGCCGCTGATCTCTCTAGTTAGTGAGCAGTGTAGCCTACCGAATGTTAAAAAAAAAAAAAAAAAAAAAAAAAAACAAGAGGCGACGAGATCGTCTTAGGGTTGCGGAGCATTTCATGATGAGACTTTATTATACATAAAATGTTCTATTTCCATCACAAAAAACATTTAATTTTTATTTCACAAACTTGAAAAAAAAACCAGCCCGATCTATTGCAATAGGTTGCTCCGCAACCCAAAAAAAAAGATACCATGATAACAGGAGTCTACTAAGCCATCATTCTAAATCCTGATTAGCCTTGCTGACTAATTGGTGTAGTACCTGTTGTATATCCCTCAACCTGATGGGTTTGGCAAGGAATCCGTCCATCCCTACGCTTGCACACTTATCCCTTTCATGCTTGAGCACACTAGCAGTAACTGCGTAAATGGCCGAACGTTGAACAAATTTCTCATGTGGGGTTTCCTCTCCCTTACTCTCAGCATCCAATGAGAATCGCTCCTTTAGCGGGGATGTGTCTCTTACATCTGCCATCATAGTGTTGGATTGTAGCTTCCGGATGCGAGTGGTGGCTTCAAACCCATCCATCACAGGCATGTGGCAATCCTGCAGGGGACATGGTAGGCAAGGGAGAATCAATTGGAGGAAATATATTTTCGGGAGAGTGGCTTCAAACTCATCCAAGGCTGCCAACTGGCAGTTCTGAATACAAGGAGGAGATGGGAGTGACAGGGAAGCACGAGCACGGACCATGAAGATGACGTGGTAGTTGGTGGCGGTGCAGGCCTCCACGGCCTTGCGGCCGTTCTCTGCCACGTCGCACGCCACTCGCAGGTTCCTCAGCAGCTGCACCACCACCATGCGGTTCACCGCGTTGTCCTCCACCACCAGGCACCGCAGCCCCTCAAATGTCCCTCCGCAAGAGGGGGACTTGGGGAATGCCCCACCCGTAGAGGGGGGCTTGGGAAATGCCCCACCATTAGAGGGGGACTTGGGAAATGCACGTGCTGCCAGCCCCTTGTGTGGCCGCCTTCTCTCACCATGTCTCACACCCACTTCACGTACCACACCCTCTCCATGTCCCCCCTCCTGCTCTCTATTCTCTACCGAAAGCTGACCACCACATTGCACCCTGCCTTCATCTGCTACTGGCGAACCCTCTCTACCCATCCTCTTCCCACCTGCCCCTGCGCCTTGCGCCACCTCAAACTCTGCTGCGCCCCTTCCTCTGCCCGCCGTATCGCCAGCTGGCGACGCTACACACCTCTCTGTTCTCCCCGTATGAGGCTGGCGTTCCACCATCCTCTGCCTCTTTATGGAAGTGACCTCATGCTTGCCCTCCTCCTCCTCCTCCCCCTCCCGTGATCTGCCGTTCCCATCAGCTGCATTCAAAGTCCTGTGCCTCTCCTCTTGCTTCTGCAGCTGCCACTCCTGCAGCAGCCACTGCTGCCGCCTCAGGCACGGCTGCTGCTTATGGCCATGCTGCTGTTCCTGCTGCTCTTGCTGCTCTTGCTGCTCCAGCTGCCCCACATGGTGGCTGTGCCCCACATGGTGGCTATGCCCCACTTGGTGCTGGGCCTGACACGCTGTCACCGGGAGCACAGGGAAGATGCCACTATCAGCCACGTTCTGCAGCAGAAATGATCGGGTCCTCCTGTGCCCCCTGCGCCCCTCACCCCCCTTCTGCTCCTGCTTCCTCTCTCCCCGTGCAACTGTATCACCACCAGCACCAGCACCAGCAGCAGCAGCCGCACCCCCATTACCAGCACCATCACCCTCATCGGCACACGTTTCTGGGCTCACAACAGCGAAGGGCAGGGAGAGGGAGAAGGTGGAGCCTTGGTGGGGCGTGGAGGCGACGGAGATGCAGCCCCCAATGAGTGACGCCAGCGAGCGGCAGATGGACAGACCTAGGCCCGTGCCACCGTGCTTGCGGCACGACGAGTCGTCCACCTGCCGGAACGGCGTGAAGAGGCGCGTGAGGGCGTTTGTGGAGATGCCCTCGCCTGTGTCCCTCACGTCCATGCGCACCCATACCACCCCCCTCCGCTCCTCCCCATGCCCTTGCCCATTCCCATGCCCATTCCCATGCCCATCCCTATCCCCATGCCTATGCCCATGCCCATTCCTATCCCTATCCCCATGTCTATCCCTCTCCCCATCCCTATCCCCATGCCCATCTCTCTCCCCATCCCTATCAGCATCCGCCCCCCCCACACTCCTCCCGGGCTCACTGCCCCGTCCATCCGACCGCTCTCGCCCCATCTTCGCTCCTGCTCCTGCATCTGCTGCCCCTTCGCCTGCCAGACTGGCCCCACATTGCCCCTCCCTTCCCCTGTCCCCATCCCCATCCCCATCCCCATCCCCCTCCTGGCTCTCCCTTCCATCCGCCCTCTCTCGCTCCATCTTTGCTCCTTCATCTGCTCCTGCACCAACTGCCACTTCGCGACCCAGATTAGCCCCACGTTCGCCCTCCCCTCCTCTGTCGCCATGCCCATCCCCCTCTTCCCTATCCCTTGCCTCCCGCCCCCACGCTTGCAGGGAGAGAGAGGTCGGGAAAACCGGTGCGCGTGGGTGCAAAACAGGCGAGCGTGGGTGCAGAGTGGTCATGGAGAACACAGCATCGTCAGCAGCAGCATCTGCTGCAGCTGATGCCGCCTCTTGAGGCGCTGCAAACAGGGTGAGAGCAGGTGCGGGTGGGTGCAGAGTGGTGACGGAGAACACAGCAGCGTCTGCTGCAGCATCTGCTGCGGCACATGCAGCCACAGCAATGACCTCGGGATCCTCACTCGCACTGCTCTCACTACCTTCACTGCCATTCCTCCTCTCCCCCGTAGCCGTACATGCTGGTTCAAAGTGTGCCTGCCCTTCATTGCTGCACGCCATGAGTTTTTGAGAATCATCATAAAAACTTTCGTTGCCACTCCTCTCCCCCGTATCTGTACTTGCTGGCTCCAATCGCGCCTGCCCTGCATTGCTGCACGCCACGTGCTCTTGAAAATACTCTAAAACACCTTCGTTGCCGCTCCTTACCCTCGTTGCTTCTGCACATGCCGGCTCTAAGTGCGCCCGCTCCAACCGCGCCCGCGCTTCATTGCTGCGTGCAACGCAGGCGCCCCCTTGCCCCGCTGCTCTGCCTGCCACCTTGGCCATTCCTGTCAAACCTCCTCCTGCCTCTGCTTCCCCCTCCTCCTCCTCCTCCTCCTCCTCTGCATCCGCCTCCGCCCCTGTCCGTGCATGCCGCTCAGCAGCAAGGCACGCTCGTTTCCTTGGAGCCCCAGCGCCGTCAGTGCCTTCACAGCCCTGCGCTTGCCGCTGCTCCACCTCACCATCACACGGCTTCTTTCCTTGAGGCGCCTCATAGGTAGACCCTGCTTGCGCCCCCCCCACCTCACCATGTGACCGCTTCTTCTTCCCCACGGCAACCCACGCCGCGCCTTCCTCTGCATCTTTTCCCACTTGTTGCACCTCTCCCTCCCTTCCCTCTCCCTCCCTCCCCTCTCCCTCCCTTCCCTCTCCCTCCCTCCCCTCTCCCTCCCTCCCCTCTCCCTCCCTCCCCACTCCCTCCCTCCCCACTCCCTCCCTCCCCTCTCCCTCCCTCCCCTCTCCCTCCCTCCCCACTCCCTCCCTCCCCTCTCCCTCCCTCCCCACTCCCTCCCTCCCCTCTCCCTCCCTCCCCTCTTGCTCCTCTCCCTCCCTCCCCTCTTGCTGCTCGCCGTCGGACAAGAGGGCCTGGTCCAACGGGCTGGAACCCACCGCTACCACCGGCTGATGAGTCCCGCAGATGTTCACGTCAAAGGGGTTGGAGCAGAGGGCAACGGTGAGGTGCACTTGGCCGGCATCGGTGAACTTGATGGCGTTGGAGAGCAGGTTGAGGAGAATCTGCCGCACCCTCAGCTGATCGCCCTCCACCCACGCCGGCACGCCCACGCCCATCCGGCTGTGCAACTGGGGAAGTGAGAGGGGGTGCAGGGGAGAGAGGGGGTGCAGGCGGGCAGGGGAGAGAGGGGGTGCAGGCGGGCAGGGGAGCGAGGGGGTGCAGGCGGGCAGGGGAGAGAGGAGGTGCAGGCGGGCAGGGGAGAGAGGGGGTGCAGGCGGGCAGGGGAGAGAGGGGGTGCAGGCGGGCAGGGGAGAGAGGGGGTGCAGGCGGGCAGGGGAGAGAGGGGGTGCAGGCGAGCAGGGGAGAGTGGGGGTGCAGGCGGGCAGGGGAGAGAGGGGGTTGGAAGCATTGAAGCAGGGAGGTTTCGAGGCAAGGGGCAAGTGAGAGGGAGGAGGGAAGGCTTGATTTCAAACGTATCAAACAAGGCACGGCCAATGCTTGAGAAAAACCTGACCGACTTGTGAACCATCCACGTTGCACAACTTACTCTGAGCTTCTTGCTCTCTGCTGCGGTCCGGACGGCTTCCACACAATCCGCCACAGTCTCATGGAGGTCGAACGGGCAGCAGTCGAGCAGCAGCGAGTGCGTCTCGATCTTGGTGAGATCCAGCACGTCCGAGATGATATGAATGAGCGCGGAGCCGGACGACGAGATGACGTCCACGTACGAGCGCTGCTGCGGGGAGAGCGGCGTGCGCAGCAGCAGCTCGGCGACCCCGATGACGCCGTTCAAGGGCGTGCGCAGCTCGTGGCTCATGTTCGCCAGGAACCGGTTCTTCGCCTCGCTGCCCGCCTCCGCCGCCTCCTTGGCCGCCTTTAACTCCTCCTCCTTGCGCTTCATCTCCGTTATGTCGTGCCACACCGACATGTAGAAGTGCTCGCCACTGATGGTAATAACCTGTGTGGGGGAGGACAAGGGCGTTGGGGGGGTTTGGGGAGAGGGGGGGAGAGGGGGGGAGAGGGGGGAGAGGGGAGGGGATGGGGAGCATAAAGGCCCGCCCTTAGCTACATCTTCAGCTGCCTCCATCTCGTCCTCCTTGCTGCTCTTCCTTGCGGTTGGGGGGGGATGTCGTGCCACGCGCTCATGTAGAAACGCTTGCCGCTGATGATCGCCACCTGTGCCGGGGAAGGAAGAGTAGGTTGGGGGGTTTGAGGGAGGGGGGGGAAGGGGGAGCTCTGACCCGTCCAATCTGGTGTGCACGCACTCGAACGACACACACTCCCCTCGCTCGTCCTCTCCCATTCCTCCCATTCTCCTCTGCAGCCTACCCTTCCCCCCCCTCCCCCCCACCCCCTCTCATCTTAGCCTTCACTAGCAGGTGGAGCTCAGAGCCGTCCAATCTGTTGTGCACCCAATGAAACGGTGCGCACTCCCCTCGCTCGTCCCCTCCTCTTACACTTCCCATCATAACCAGCCCCCCCCCCCCCCCCCCTCCCCCCCTCCCCTCCACCCCACCTATCCCCCTCTCACCTTGGACTTCACGAGCACGTGGAACTCAGTGCCGTCCAGTCTGGTATGCACCCACTCGAACGGCGCGCACTCCCCTTGCTCCACAAGCACGCCAACGATCTCCTCAAATAGCTCCGCGCTGCGCCGCCCGCATGGCTGCACCTCGGGGGACTGTTGCAGCAGAAAGCCCCGGTGCATGCTGGCCAGGGCGGCAGATCTGGACGGGAATCCGAGGATCCGGGCGGCAGCGGGGTTGCAATCATGTGGGGCGTGATTGATGTAGTTTATGAGAATGGGGTCCTGTGGGGAGGGGAGAGAGGGGGAGGGGAGAGAGGGGGGGGGGGGGGGGGCGTTGGGAAGGGGAATCGGGGAAGGAGTGAGGGCGGATTGGTCAGGAAGGCCCAAGGGTGTGTGCGGCAGGGTTGCAGCGCGGGGCTGCAGTCGAGCAGGGCGTGATGGATGTCGGTCATACAGATGGGCCTCTGATGGGGGGACAAGACATACCATACCATGGAACTCACTCATCGCATGACCATGGTACTCATCGCATGACCATGGTACTCATCGCATGACCATGGTACTCATCGCATGACCATGGTACTCATCGCATGACCATGGTACTCATCGCATGACCATGGTACTCATCGCATGACCATGGTACTCGTCGCATGACCATGGTACTCGTCGCATGACCATGGTACTCGTCGCATGACCATGGTACTCGTCGCATGACCATGGTACTCATCGCATGACCATGGTACTCATCGCATGACCATGGTACTCATCGCATGACCATGGTACTCATCGCATGACCATGGTACTCGTCGCATGACCATGGTACTCGTCGCATAACCGTACCGTGGTACTCATTGCATGAAGCTTAGCGATTGAAGCTTCGCCTTTGAGTTGACTCAAGGGCAGACTCTCAGCAGTCCCACCTCACCATGCACTTGTCAATGCCGCCACCTCACCATGCACATGTCAATGCCGCCACCTCACCACGTACATGTCAAAGCCACCATCTCACCATGCACACGCCAATGCCACCACCACGGGCGAGCATCTCACCATGGACATGTCGAATATGGCGTGGAACTTGGCGCTCTCCATGCTCCACTTGAGAGTCTGCTTCACGCCGTGCAGCACCGCCACCATCTGCTGCAGTGGATCCATGCTGCCGTCATGCTGCAACGCGTCCATACTGCCGTCGTGCCTCACTGTGTCCATGCCGTAATCCCCGCCCCTCGCACCAGCATCCCCTCTGCTCCCCCCGGTCGCTCCGTCAACCCCTCTGACCTCTCCAACCCCTCTTGACTTCTCTCCCCTCCCACCACCCTCCTCAGACCGCTCCGCCTCCCCTTCGCCACCGCCCCTGCTGTCAGCACCACTGGTGCCATTACTGCCTGTGTGCCGATCTCTCGAGGTCAGAGGGTCAACCCCAGCGCCGGTGACTGCATCGCAAGTTTCATGCTGGTTCGGGCCATGGTGGTTCGGGCTATGGTGGTTCAGGCTATGGTGGTTCGGGCCATGGGGGGTAGGATCAAAGGGTAAGTCGTGTTGCAGTGCCACGTCTGGCCCAACGGATGCCTTGAGTCGCTTCAACATGCGATCCTGGCATCACAGCACAGTGGCAAAGGGAAGAGAGCGTGAAGAGAGGGTGAAGGGAACGAGATGCTTTGAGCATTGCCACCGTAGCATTGCCACCGTAGCACAATAGAAAATGGAAGGAGAGGCTGTGGAGGAAAAGCGCGGGCGAGAGGAGAGCGAGGGTCTATTTTTGAGGCGCCTAAAAAAAAACGAGAGCGTGGGTCAAGATGTGGAGAGTGAGCGCACAGAGAGGTGACTTTCTTCCCCTCTCATGGCTACGCCTCTACCCCTTTGCATGACTGCTGTGCCGCCACCCCCTTAGGTCACCGTCGCGCTGACTGACCACAGCATGCCTTTTCTCGTCGTCCCTCAATACCCTGCCGCCCCCTCACCTCCTGCCTCCCCCCTCTCACCTCCTGCTTCCCCCCCCTACCTCCGGCTTCCTCATGTTAGTAGTTTAGTCTTGAGACGACTCAAAACTAAACTACTCTCCCACCCTCACCTCCTGCTTCCTCACCTCCTGCTTCATCCGCTCCGAGATGTCGAGGAAAGTGCACAGAACCATCCTCTGCTCGCACCCTCTGTCACTCGTCTCCTTCCGGGCTGCTTCTTCAGGAGGCGCTCGGGGCGAATCTGTACACGTGACATCGCCCTCACGAGGACACGTGGCAGGAAAGACCGACATCTCAAGCCATCGCCACTCACTACTGCAGCTGCTGCGAAGAGTTTCCTTCTCTTCCTCCCTTTCCCTCCCCTCTCGCTCCTCTCCTCTTCTCTCTCCCTGGTTTTCTCCCCTTGCTCCCCCCCTCTCATCGCCCTTGCCCTCTCCTCCGTCTTTCCCTCCTCGGGCTGCCAGCCTCACCGCAACCCGCCGCTTCGCCCGGCCGCCGTCCGCGGCTGCACAGCCATCGAGCACAGCCTGTGCGGGCAAGGGTCGGTGTGACAGGAGGGGTGGAACAGGGGGGGTGAGACAGGGGGGTGAGACAGGAGGGGGTGCGACGGGAAGAATGCCCGGAAAACGGCGGGTTGGCAAGCTACGAGGTCTCCCTGCTGAATTCTAAGCGGATGAATCCGGACCTGCGAGAGATGGTGCTTGCCTCAGTGGAAGGTCGATCCGCCGGGTGGACCAAGGAGAGGTCGCCCTTCCCGCTGTCGATCGTTTGGAAATCTAGCAAAATCGACCACGAGAATCCCAAGGGCCTGAGAGAACTGTGCTTGCCTCAGTGGAAGGTCGATCCGCCGGGTGGACCAGGGAGAGGAAGCTCCTCCCCGTGATCTGCGAGTGCCCGCACTGCGCGCCGAGCAGATCCAACAGCGCGGAACTGGTGGAAGGGAAACACGCGGACCGGGAAACACGCCGGAGAAATGACGATGGCGATGAGAAACCACGAGAATTCAGCAGGAGCAGGAGGGCTTTTGAGACGACTCCGAAGTCACCTCGTTACAACATCACACAGCACGCCAGAGAAACTTTTGAGTCGACTCAAAACTCAAAAGTCGGCTCAAAAGTCACCTCGTTACAATGTCACGCAGCACGCAGGAGAAACGAAGACGGCGATGGGAAACCACGAGATTTCAGCGGGAGCAGGATAAACACGGCGTGTGAGCTCAATTGCACTTCTTAACTCGTCCGTCGAGCCCTTCTCCTACACCAGGGGCCCTTCTCCTACACCAGGTCCCTTCTCGTATATTAGGGGACCTTCCCCAGGTAGTACCTGCATTGCAATATGCGGCTCTCCCTCGCGTCGCCGCTGACGGTCAGCAGAGCAGCCGGAACGGCTTGAAACAGCGAATTCTGTAGAAGCGAAGAAACCGCCGACATTGATCGATCCTGAAGGATAGAGCCACGGTATCCCCGAATTGCTAGAGTGAATTATTCCTAGAAAATAAATCGTAAACACCAGTTTCAATAAGGATCATCGTATCCGGAAAGAAAAAGAAAAAGCGTTGGCGTTTCTCGAATCAATTTCGTCGCGAAATACGGAGAGAAACGGGTGTTTTTTTCTGTGTACTGGACCAGCGTATTCTGATACCACTACCAAAATCAGGGTTCGTCCGGAATACTTCTTAAGCTCTTACACTGCTCTATTGAGGGACAGGTTACTCCATACGACCTCGTCCTGCATTTCTGAAGGTTGCTCTAGCAACCAGAGCTGGATATAAGGGTTTGCCAGGAGCAAGCCTATGACAGCAGCAGCTGAACCAACCAGGAAGAACGGCGGAGAAAGGAACCATACTTTCACGCAGCAATTTCTGACGCTAGCAAGACCTCCCCTAACCTAATCTCTGACTAACCGCTCTGCGTGCATGCATCATCAGGCATTCTTGGCAGCAGCCCCCCTCCCAAAATGGTCCCGAGTCCCGACTCCCAACTCCCGTCCCTCCCAAAGCGGTCCTCTCTCCCAAATCACCTCAGGACGCAGCGGACCAAATACTGGGTGTGGGCAGACAGAGTAGCTGAGCGGATGAAATGAGATGGGATGGGATGGGATGGGAGGGATGCGAGGAAAATGGGACAAATGAAATGGGATGAAATGAGATGGGATGGGGATGAGATGAAGAAATGACATGGGATGGGAGGGGGGAGATCTAGGATGCGATGCGATGACAGCCTAATGAAATTGCATGTGGAATCAAGGATGCGATACGGCGGATGGGAGACAGGATGCGGTGCGGCGGTTTGGGCGGAATGTTGCGAGCTAATCGCGCGAAGCAATTTCTTGATGGTGCGGTTGGCCGGGATTCTCGCGTGCGTCTGCTGTTTTTTTCACGTGGGCCCCGTCTTTGCTGGCAAGGGCAAAGGTGGCGTGGCTTGACAGAGCAATTCAACGCAATCTGATGCGAAGAGATTCGAAAGATTTGCAACTGCCGCCGTCCACAATGAGTCAGAGATATTTATGTACAATATGTACCTCTTCAAAACTGTACACCCTAAAACTCGTTAGAATCAAGCGTGTATGTCAGGCTGGCTGCGTTTTTCTTTTTTCGGAATGTGATTGTACGTGACCGCCTGGGGAACCGACCGTCAGGGGTATTTCTAGATACTCCGAAAAAATTAAGGGTGTATTCTGGAGTGACCATTATTTGGTCCCGCGTGGAGGGAAACCAGTGGGCAGTGAATAATTGGGAAAAAAAAACAGTGAAGGGGATCGCAACAGCCAGAAAGACCCGCGAACTGTAGCAAACCGTCAACTCTCGACAGAATGAAACAGAATGTTCCGAATGGAGGGCTCACGCGACGAGGAGCTTCTGGAATCAGCAGCTCAACCCGTTGAGGTCTGTGGTTTTTCCCACACTAAGCCAGATTTGGTCCAGGGCAATGTGAAATTCCATTTCACAATGTGATAAGAAGCCGATCTTGGCAATGATTGTATCCGCTTTTTTACGCTACGTGATTTGAGACAAACGAGATTTAGGGTGTATGACTTTCTGATCGTGAGGCCCATGGAGCAGCGTATTCGCTACTTCCCACACACGAAACATTTGGCAACGTCCGATTTCACAACAACATTTAGACAGCACGGAGAGCGATGCACTCCTCAAACCTGTCACTTACCGCAGTCACATAAGATATACACCACCCTAGCAATTTATTACCCATACACTATGAATCAACTAACGTAGCCATTCAAACCCATATTTTCTAGATGCCACTACGCCAGCACTACTACAGTGGTGATATACGATGGTGTGACAAGTGGTCATACTACATGCTGGTAAATTGAAAGGGGAGTGAGCTTGTTTTGATGGTCAGTAAAACCTCGACGAGGCATTGGAGAGCTGGTGGTGCTGGAAGGATGGCTTGGCTGCTGATTCCGCAACAAGCATCTGCAGGGAAGCAATGACACAAGGAAACAAGACATGCGTATGAAACCAAGAAGGAAGCTGAGTCTGAAGAGCAGAGGGTGAGACCGTGATAAAACAGAGGGACGGAACAGCAAATTCACTCACCCTGTACTTAGGAGCCGCTTCTGCTCCCTTGGTCAAAAACCTCCCACTCCCCTGGCCCCCATCGGCCCACTCATCACCACCCAGCACAAAATACTTCTCCCCTCCTCCCCCTGCGCCCCCCATCCCCACCCCTTGCGCCTCCGCCCCCCCGTCCCTCCCGGAAAAGCTACTCGCGCAGTCGGAGAAGCTGCCGCTGCTGCTGAGCCCCTCATGCGCGCCGTCCCTGTCCTCTCCATCGCCCCACTCCTCACTCTCACTGAACCCCGCCACATCCGTTGTCGCATCCGTCACACTCCACATCTCCGTGCCTTCGGTGATCGCATCCACGTCCTCGCGATCTGAACCGTCCATCGACCCTCCTGCAGTAACCACCCCTCGCTCTCCTGCCCGCCTTCCCCTCCCCCCTCGCCTGTTGTCTCTCCTCTCCCCGCCCTCACTGCAGCATCGCTCCTTTTCCTCGTTATTATCCCGCCCGTTATCGTCACTGTCGCCCTCCGGCTCTTCGCTGCACTGGCTGCTGCCAATGATGTCGCCCCACACGCTCAGCCCCCCATCCACGCACGCCACAAGAGACAGGAGCGAGTCTGAGTGGTGAAGGGAGGGGGCATTGGGCGGATGAGAGTAGGTCGAGAAGAGCAGCGAGTGGATTTTGCTCATGGGATGTGCACTGCTGCTGGAGTTGCTGTTGCCGCCATTGCCACTGTCGCCGCCACTGCTGCTGCTGGTGCAATTCCTGCTGCTGCTGTTGCTGCCGCCGCCACTGCTGCTGCTGCTGCTGGTTCCTTCTGTGTGTTTCGCAGCCAGGGTCCTATCAGGAGACGCCACTCCAGCCAGCGCCTGGTCCACCACCGACATCGCCACACACACCTCCTCTGCCACCTCCACCACTACCACCTGCTCTCCCCCCCACTCCCCCCCTTCCCCAAACCTCTCCCCTTGCATCCCACACCCGTCCCTCTCTGATGCACCAAACGCCTCTCGCCCACCCACTGCCCCTCCCCCCCCTGCTGCGCTCCCCCAGCAACCCCTTTGCTTCCTCCCACTGCTGCTGCTGCTAGGGGACGGGGAGGAGGAGCCTCGAGGGGGAGTGGACGGGCGGCGGGGGCTGCGGGGCACATCAGACAGCCTCGACCGCCCGCTGCTGATTCCACCAAGCTGCACCCTCACATGAGGCCCTTCCATTCCGCCCACTCCGACCCCTCCGAACCCATCTCCACCTGACCCAATCTCCCCAGCAGTACCAGCAGCACCAGCACCAGCAGAGGCTGCGCCGGCAGCAGTGTTGCTGCCGGTGTTGGAGCGGCGGCGGGAGGAGGGTTTGCGGGTGGAGCACTCCCCACAGGTGGCACAGAGGAGCTGGTCCGGGAAGAGAGGCGGGAAGCCGCAGGCCGAGCACGCATTGGGCTGCCAGCGCTGCACCCCGGGGAGGAGAGGGCCGCCGAAAACCTGGGTAACACCAGGGAGAAACACAGCGAAACAACAGCAGGGAACAGCAGCAAAAGATGAGAGTGAAGCACTCCCCACAGGTGGTGCAGAGTAGCTGGTGGGGGGAGATAAAAAGTGAAGCTGCACGCACTGGAGGCACTGGGCTCGGCTGCCATACCTGGCAATAGGCTCGGTAGTAACATTAAGGTTTGGGAGAGTGCCATACCTGGCGGAAGGCTCGGTAGTAGTGCAGGTGCTCGGGGTCCCTGATCCGAACCTGATCCTCCCGCTTCACCCTCTGCCTCTCCGCCTGAAACTCCTCCCGCCCCATCCTCCGCGCAAAGTGCCTCGTCAAAGCCACCGTGCCCGCCCCCACCTGCCACAACAGGAGCAACGGAAGGGAAACGGAGGGGAGGAAGGGGAAACGGAGGGGAGGAAGGAGAAACTTCAGAGGTGACTGTCTAAGATCACCCTCTGCCTCTCTACCAACCAGCGACTCCTCCCGCACCATCCTCCATTTAGAGTGACATGTCAGGGCCACCGCTCCCGCTCCCACCTGATGCGACACAAGAGCCAGAGGAGGAGGGGAGGACAGAGCCTGAGTCGACACCACTCTAGAAAGAAAGAAAAAGACTCACCCACTCACAACAACCGCCCCCCCACATAGACCCACCCACCCACCTCAATGGGATCCTTGGGCCGGCAAGCCGAGACCACTTCAGGGAACGCCATTCTCAGCAGCAGGTTGCCCTCGTTGTAGTCACACCACTCCTCGCTGCGCCCCTCCCATAGGAACTCGTCTTTGGTCAGCCCCAGAGCAAACTCCTGCAGCGCCAGGTGCAGGAACGGCTGCCGCACCTCCAGACCCCCACATTCCACACACACAACCCACCCACCCACTCACCCACCCACCCACCAACACACCTCAATAGGGTCTTTCGGTCGCCGGGCCGACACCACTTCAGGGAACGCCATTCTCAGCAGCAGGTTGCCCTCGTTGTAGTCACACCACTCCTCGCTGCGCCCCTCCCCTAGGAGCTCGTCTTTGGTGAGGCCCAGAGCGAACTCCTGCAGGGCCGGGTGCAGGAACGGCTGCCGCACCTCCAGGCCAAGAGCCTGCGCCAGGTCCCTGCAGGGGAAGCGCAGCACGTCCACCATGTGCTGGCGGCACTCCTGCAGCTTGGCGTCGCTCATCCGCACCATGAAGTCGAAACTGGGAGGGGGGCAGACAGAGAGGCAGAGGAAGGGAGGCAGGGGAAGGGGAGGAATAGAGTGGCATTTGAGGCAGGAGGGTCAAGGACGTCCGCCATGTGCTGGCGACACTCCTGCAGCTTGGCGTCGCTCATCTGCACCATGAAGTCGAAACTGCCAGGGGGGCGGACAGGGGCGCAGGAGTCGGTCGAGGACACACACGGTAAGGCCCTTGCACAGCACTCATGCAGTGAGCAGCTCGTCCTCAAGATACCCAGCGAAGCCCAACACAATTGGCCTCGCAATTCCCCTTGTCCCCACTGTTCCCTTTCTTTCCCCCTTCCCCCCAGGCACTCTCGTGGTGAAGAGCCCATCCCCCACCAGCAGAAGCCGACCAGAAGCCCTGCCTCTCTGCCCTGCTCCTGACCCTTCCCAATTCCTCCCCTCCTTCCCTATCCCCCCCTCCTCCCCCCCAACCCCCATTCACTCACGCGGTGAGCAGCTCGTCCGCGCCCACACCCCCCCCCCCCCTTTATCACCGAGCAGCACGGCATCCCTTCCTCATTTCTTACCCCCACCCCTCACTCCCCCCCCCCCTCCCTCCTCCACCCCTACTCACGCAGTGAGCAGCTCGTCCGCGCCATCCCCCACCATCACCGAGCAGAAACCCTGCCGCTCTGCCCAATCCCTTCCATCCCTCTTCCCTTCCCAATTCCTTCCGCCATTTTTGACCTCCCTCCCTTTTCCCCCCATCCCACCACCTCCCAGCACTCACGCGGTGAACAGCTCGTCCGCGCCGTCCCCCACCATCACCGAGCAAAAGCCCTGCCGCTTGGCCTCCCTTAATCCTGCTGCCAGCACCACTCCCATGCGGATCTGCAACGGGGAGGGAAGGGGAGACAGGCGGGGAAGACACGGGAAACGAGTGGATTGAAGGAAGGAGGATTGGAGAAGGAGGGAGGATTGGAGTGGGGCGGCTGTCACATCGACCAGAGGGCCGCCAGCACCACGCCCATGCGGATCTGCAACGGGGGAGGGAAGGGGAGAGAGGAGGGGAGGGACGACGGTGGATTGGATGAGGGGAAAGAGGAGAATAGGGTTGACTTGAATGCTACTGCCTCCCCTGTCCGGTTGAAAGAGGGGTGTAGACTATCCCCGATTTTGCAGGGTGTTTTTGAGAATTCTCAAAAACACCCTGACTATCCCCGACATGCCAGGCACCTATGCCGCGCCTGTGGAAAACGCTGTCTCACCTCAGCGGGGTCGAAGCTCTTCAATACGCGCACCACAAACCGCAACTCCGTCTCCAGCAGATGCTCTGGCTGAAACCCCGGCCCGCCCCCCACAAACACGTGCCCGCCGCTCCCCCCTCCGCCCATCCCCCCGCCCAGCTGGCACCCGCGCGCAGCCGCCGCCGCAGGCGCCCTATCCGCTGCTCTAGGACTCGCTAGGACCGTGATCGCGGCGCCGATGCTCCCCGGCCAGATTAAAGACGTGGCGGCGTGCGCGATTATGGTGGACGCGAGGCCGCCCGACAGGAGGAGGCAATCCGCGGGGAGAGAGTCCTCTATGGTTGCGAGGAAGAGCGCGCGGAGCTGCGCGGCTTTGAGCGCCGCGCCTGACAGGGAGATGGCGGGGGGAGGGGGAGAGGCGGACGGCGAGGTGGGTAGTGTTTCCTGCTCCTCCTCCACCTCCCCTAGCTGCTGCTGCTGCTGCTGCTGCTGCTGCTGCTGCTCCGGCGGCAGTTGTGCCGCCCCCGGTTGCATAGCCAGCAGTTGCAACCCCTCCTCGAGCTTTAACTGTGTCAGAAACTGCTGCTGTATCCGATCCTGCTCACTCTTTTCCCGCTCCACCCTCTCTTCCTCCTCTCTCATTCTCTGCTGCTCAACCATCTCCTCCTCCTCCCCCTTCGCCTCCGCATCCGCGCCTTCCTTCCGCTCCGTCCCCCTCTTCAGCCCCCACAGCTGCCGCCTGGAGCTGCGCCCGGGCGGAGACGGCAGGGGGGCCAAGGGCTTGGGGGCAGAAGTGGCGGACGACTCACTCATGCTGCCCGTTTGGCTAGCAGGGGAGGTAGCAGCAGCGGCGGCAGTGGCGCTGGTGCTGCTTTTACTTGTAACATTCCCCGTGTACCCAGGAGGAGGGCGAAGGGGGGCAATTGCCTCGTTGCCCCCAATCTCCGCCTTGTTACTCTGCTGCTCCTGCCCCAACTGCTGCTTCCCTGCCGCTTTCGCCACCAATGCAGCCTCCCTAGCGGCCTCCCTCGCTCCCTTGGCCGCTGCTTCCGACGCCAATTGCGCGAACCACCCCTCACCCTCCCCCCCGCTCCCTCCCCCCGCTTCCCCGCCGCTAGCACTTCTCCCATCCGCCCCCTTCCCCGCGTCCAGCTTCCCCCAGTCCCCCCCCGCGCGGTCAGCCCCTCCGCCGTCCCCCAGCAGCGCGCGCCACGCGCCCACGCACCCACCCGTTAACTGCGCGTACGCCCTCCCCTCGTACTTAATCTCGATCTCCGGGAAATCCGCGCCTGCTGCCACGTGTCCCCGGCCTAACAGGCGGTTGGACGAAGGGGAGGCGTCAGCAGCACCACCGTCAGCAGAGCCAGCGGCAACAGCGCGGTTTGATGCGGTTCTGTGGTGTGGGAACCGGCGCGCGTGGAGAATCTCCACCATTATTTCCGCCGATTCCACTATAGTCGGCCCGGAGTTGTTAAAGTAACGGTCGCCGTCAGCCACGAAGACGGCGTCCGTCTGCACGGCTCTTAGCCGGTTCCACTGGGGTAGATCATCCGAGTTAAGAAACTTTCTTAAAACCGCTTCCATAGACAGCCCGCAGCACATGGCGATGATGACGTCAGGGTCCAAAGATAGCAAGGTTTCCAAAGATAGCATGGCCGTGCGTTCCCCAGGCTGGAGGGGGGGAAGGCGGGCACACAGGGATGGGTGGGTGATTGAAAGGGGGGACCCAAGGGGGAAGAATAAACCCGATCACAAATTTACCCCCCTACCAACGTGTCCGTGCAACCTCCATTTCCCCTTCCCACCTTCCCCTTCACTCAGTCACCCCATTCATCCTATAACTCTATAGCCCACGCTCGCTCGCATTCCATTCCCCGCCCACCTCACATCATGCATATCTCACCTTCCCGGAAAGGCTCTTCCCCCCCGCGCACGCGACGATCTCCGGAACCCAGAACCCCGCGCCCATGAGCGGGTGCAGCCACTGCAGGCACACCACGCGCAGGCGGGGTGCGGACCCACGGAGCGGAACCTGCCGGCGCACGAGCGACCAGCGCGCCTTGAGTGTTTGCACGAGCACGCACCCCTTCTCCCTGTGCCCGACCGCCGCGGCTATCTGCACCATGTTATCCCACACGTCCGAGACTGTGATTGGCTTGAGCGAGACCACGTGGCACGCGCTCCCCGCGTCGTCCCGCTGGCGGAAGTAGTCGTTGCAGGCGGCTTCGAGGTCCGATAGAGTCACGAGGCACACGTCGCACGCGTCCTGCGTTATAATCACATCCGGCTGCAGCCGCTTTATTGCCTCCACGTCCACGTGGTACCGCGACAGACCCTTGCGCACGCGCTCCGAAAGCTGCGGTGGGAGAGAAGGCGGGAGTGAGGGAAGGGAATGAGAGGAGGGTGACATGCCGGGGAAGGGGGGAATGGCGGGGGGTGTGGGGGGAAAGGGGGGAGGAGGAACGGGGGGGAGAGGGAGGAGGGGGGGGGGGGAATCGTCTATTGCTCACCGTGACACTGGCGCTCTCTCCCACTCACCCTGTCATGCCCCGTGCCGCAGCTCTGCAGCACCTGTTCCGGACCCAGGGCGGGCGCCGTGACGCACGGCAGAGCCAGCACGGACGGCGGGAACTTGCACTCGTGCGACCGCCCCACCAGCAGATGCTGCAGCCCCAGCGTCGCCACCACCTCCGTCGCCGCACCCAGCAGCGACACCACCCTTAGCGGCCTGTCTCCCTCCCTGTGTCTCTCCCTGTCTCGGTTGCCACCGCCGGTGCTGCTCCTGCTGCTGCTGCTGGTGCCGCTCGCGCTTGTTGCGACATTCGTCCCGTGCCGGCCGCTGCTGGCGGTCGTGCTCCCACCCTCGCTTCCGCTGCTGCAGGTTCGGCTGCTCGCGCCCGAGGTTCGGTCAGACCCTTCGAGGCCCGGCACTGGCGGCTCTATCCGAAGCTTCAGCTGCGGGACTAACGAGATGCCGTCGAGCTGCTTCGAAGAAGCTTCCTTGGCCTTTCTGTGGATGCGCAGCGAGTCAGCCGTTTGCAGAGCGAGAGGCGTATCGTCGTCTCTAACGGAGCGGTCTATAGCGGGGCTGCCGTTAACGGAACGGTCCATAGAGGAGCGAGCAGAGGTGGAACGAGAGGAGGAGGATAGGGAGGAGGAGGAAGGGAAGGAGGAGACAGAGGTGGAGGAGGAAGGGAAGGAGGAGACAGCAGTGGAGGAAGGAGAGGAAAGAGGAAGGGAGTCGTCATCGGCCCTGGTCGTAGTAACCTCGATAGTTACTGCAGGACCAGCCGAATCGCTCTTCCCCAAACCATAGCTCCTAGGCTTTTCCTTCTTCGCCTTCCCTTTCCAGTCCAATAACGAGCCTCCGCTGGTTGTTCGGCTAGGCTTGTTCCGAGCCTCCTCTGGGATCTCCTCTCCTGCTGGAACGGCATGGTGGGTTTCGGTTGTAGCGGGGGAGGGTTCGGCTGCTGCTGCTGACGTGGACTTGGAATTACCTCCCTTGCGACCGTCTTTAAGGAGCGATAGCCAGCTACCGCTGCTTTTCTTACGTGTTAGCGCCTGCTCGAGATGATGCATGGCCAATGACGGTGAAGATTAATCGATGGATCGTGTGAGGTGTAGCGCCACTGACTAATTAAAGTAATTAGCTACTCTAATCTCATCATACGACAAGGTCGCACTAACGCCCCGCGCACCTTGTTACCAGCAAAAGAACCCTAAAAGATCTAACAGTGAGTTGTTACTGATCGACTAAGAACGCCGAAATGCAGTCGCGTACTTTCAATTTGCCTAGCACCAAGCCCCTTACAGACGCAGACCTCATCTAAGAGCACCCTGCAGGCGCGATTGACGGGACAGCAAGCACAGCTCCCCTCCCTGACACTGTAAGCAAAGATGCAAAGATAGGACACTGTAGCTAGCCCAGCAGATGTAGGAGAGACACCGCTATGGTTTGGTGCTTCAGGGTTTCTTTGCCAGGAGTTCGGTCGGAAGGGAAGGGAGGGAAGGGGGGAGGGGGAGAGAAATGAGAAGAGGTGCGGATGGGGAGCCTGGTTCGGTGGTGTGCCAAACTGGGCAAAGAAAGGCTGCTTTTCCTTCGTGCTCGCCGCAGCTTGGTGCTTCACTCCGATTTCTTCGAGGTTCGGTGCCTCCGAGCATTCAGGATGACGTTCCGCAGCTGAGCCCCAGGCTCGGGTCAGAATTTTTTCAGGCACGAGCATGTGACAAGCTGTACGAGGCTCAAACAAATGGTTATGCCGGGGCACCATAGAGGCTCATGGGTGAGGCTGGGGGATTTGGTCTGGGATAAAGTACAAAACCGACAAATGCGTGCAGCACCGTCAAAGCGGGGCAAAGTAGAGCTGCCTGCTTGCTGAGGCAGACTGGTTCGGTCGGCCGAAGCTGGAACACCCCTAGCCTTGTTGGATCAACAGCCAGTCAGCGGGCGTCCTCCATCGGATGTCTCGGAAATGCCGACCAGGTGATCGTGCCGAGCCTATCAACTTGGTCAAGAGTTCCGCTGCTTTGTGGCATTTTCGAAGCAGGTTGTGGCCTCGGGTTTGTGGAACACAGAGAGTCATGCGAGGTTTGGAACCCAGCCAGAGTGACGGCCACCACTCACAACCAAACCGCGAAAGACGACGTTCTGGCTCGGCCCTCACCACAACACTGCTGAAGGCTCTGATTGGTTGGAAGACAAGCGGCTCGAGCTGTTCCCAATGCGCGGGGCCGTCGTCATCCAAGAACTACAACCGGGTCGCATGAACCTGGAACCTGGGAAGTGACACCACCGCCCTGTGATACTAACGATGGGCTACAGCAAGGAATGAGCTCGTCAAACAGCAAATGCTGGAAACCATACAACCTTTCATTGCCAAACATGATTTCACCTGCATGCGTACAGTAAATTTGGAAATCCCTACGTACACCTTATCCTGCTCCACAAACCCTCCCTAGCAGCACAGCATGCCACAAGAAATCCTTCAACGCTATCGAAATACCAGGTCCCAACTTTTGGCACATATACCAATACACAAACCAAGGCATTTCTTCCGCATTTTCAGCTTCTCTCTGGCATCTTCATGCCGCCACCCCTCTTCCTGCTCTCAAGCCTGGGGCAAATGCAAAAAAAGCGGGACGGAGAAGTATGGGAGACGCGAGGGAATGCTGGTGAGAATGAACATGAGCAAATCGTTTGCTGGCCTGAGCAAGAGTCATGCATGAGTAGAGCTCGCAGAGAGAAGCAGAGTCAGAGCAGGCAGGCAACTCACGAGGGGGCGAGAGCAGGATAAACCAATCCAGACCGAGGACTTGAGCTCGCAGAGAGAACCAGAGTCAGAGCAGGCAGGCAACTCACGAGGGGGCGAGAGCAGGATAAACCAATCGAGACCGAGGACTAGAGCTAGCAGAGAGAACCAGAGTCAGGGCAGGCCGGCAACTCATGAGGGGGCGGGCAACTCACGAGGGGGCGAGTTTCCCCAGGCATAGCAGGTACTCCCCAGTCTCCTCGTCAAACACGTTGCCCGTGATCTCGATGCGGTAACCGCAGTCCGGTGTACCCGGTAACCCTCTCTTCATCAGCCGCTCCAGGTCCCTGTGGTGCAGCTCCCTGCCGTTCACGTACACGCGGGTGGAGCCCCCGGCACATGACTGCGGCATGGGCACCCCGAAGTCGATGCCAGGCTGACAGGGGCATGCGGGGGAGAACGGGGAACGGGGGTCAAAAAGAGGGTGGTAGTGTGTGGGGGGGGGTGGGATGAGAATGGGATGGGAAGGTCGCTCCAGGTCCCTGTGGTGCAGCTCCCTCCTGTTTACGTACACACGGGTTGCACCACCCCCACATGACTGTGGCATTGACACCCCAAAATCAATAGCAGGCTGACAGGGGAACGTGGGGGTGACAGGGGAACGGAGAAGGGAAGGGGTGAAGGGGGCGGAAAGGAAGAGGGAAGGGGAAGTGGTGAAGGAAGTACGGAAGAGGGTGAGAATGGGAAAGGTGGAAAGGGGGTTAGCATGGGAGAGGTAATAAATCCGTCTTGAGAATGGGAAACTGGAATGATGCCAGCTAAGCAACTACCAATATGGATGCCAGCTCAGCACTTACCGGGATGATGCCGAGGCATGGCCCACCCAGCTCACCCCAGAAGCCTGCCACGTCATCATACCTGCCATGCAAGTGGGGGTTACAATACTGTGATCGGGTGAGTACGGGGCTACCCCATCAGCGCTTAATCCATCCATGTCGCATCTTCCATGTTCCACAATGCAAGTTGAATGATCCAAAATTCATGCCCCCAACTCCGATCTACCATCCATCATTCACTCACCAGCAGTTGCCCCCATGAACGGGCCCAGCCCTCTGCTCTGCAATCGCCAAGTATTCGGCCGGCCGACTTTTTGCCATGTGTCCAACATTGTACCATTGTGCCATGAGCCATGTACCATATACCAACTACTCACCAGTAGTTGCCGGGGTGAATCGGCCCCACCCTCTGCTCTGCAATCGCCACATATTCATCCGGCAGTGCCTGGCCATTCACCACCACCTGCCTGTAGACCATGCCATGTACCATGTGCCATGTACCATGTACCATGTACCATGTGCCATGTACCATGTGCCATGTACCATGTGCCATGTACCATGTGCCATGTACCATGTGCCATGTACCATGTGCCATGTACCATGTGCCATGTACCATGTGCCATGTACCATGTGCCATGTACCATGTACCATGTGCCATGTACCATGTGCCATGTACCATGTGCCATGTGCCATGTACCATGTGCCATGTACCATGTGCCATGTACCATGTGCCATGTACCATGTACCATGTGCCATGTACCATGTGCCATGTACCATGTACCATGTGCCATGTACCATGTGTCAATCTGCCGTTCTGCTAAGGGACATCCACACATTGGTGCTCTTGCTCTCACCAGTAGTTGCCCGGGTGGATAGGCCCCGCCCTCTGCTCTGCAATCGCCACGTATTCGTCCGGCAGCGCCTGCCCATTCACCACCACCTGCCGGCTGTACGTCATCCCATCCTCCTCCCCCATGCCTCCGCCCATCCCTCCGCCCATCCCCCCGCCCATGTTCCCCCCCATGCCTCCGCCCATGTTTCCCCCCATGTTTCCGCCCATCCCCTGCTGCTGCTGGTTGTGGCCATAAGACGGGGTAGCCATCTCCCCTCCTTCCCCTCCCCCCTGCCTGTTCATTCCCCCCAGCCCCCTCCTCCCCATCACCACCCCTCCGCCCCTCCCCGCCCCCATCCTCCCCCCCCTCTCCCCCTTCCCCCTGGCCCTCTTCCCCCTGCTGGCCCTCCCCCTTGCCCACCCATTCCGCTCCCCATCCCCCCTCCCCCTCCCCCTTCCGCCACATAATGACTATCATCAGACTCCCTAGAAAGTGAGCGCATGTGGTGGGGGGCGGGGGGGCTCCCCCTCCGCCTGGCCCCATACCTGGGCGGAACCCTCCCCCTCCCCCTGCGCCTCCCCCGCCTCCCCCCCCGCTCATGCTAGCATTGCCATCACTGTCATATCCAGTCCCGCCCACCCCCCGCTGCTGCGGCTGCAGGGGAGAGGGGGAGGGGAAGCGCCCGCTCCCCCCACCGCCCTGCAGCTGCTGGCCAGGGTGCTGAGCTGGCGGCGGCGGCTGCTGACTTGGCGGCAGCTGGTTGGCGAAGCGGGGGTCGGCCGGGTTGACCTGGAAGCGCGAGACCCGGAGGCACTTGCCGCAGCGCAGCTTCTGAACGCCTTTCTTGGCGGGCGGTAACTGCAGAGGGACTTCTAGGAGCTGGGAGCAGCGCTGACACTGCGTTGGGGGGAGAGGGGGAGGGGGGAGAGGAGAAGAAACTGAAAGCGCGAGACCTGCAGGCACTTGCCGCAGCGCAGCTTCTTGGCGGGGGGCAGTTGAAGCGGCACCTCTAGGAGCTGGGAGCAGCGCTGGCACTGCGTGGGGGGAGAGGGGGCGGGGCAGGAAGGAGAGGAGAAGTAACTGAAAGAGACTCGGAGACACTCGGTGCATCGCAGCCTCGCCCCTCTTGGCGAGGGGGGCCGCTGCTGCAGGGGGGCAGCAGCACAGGCACTTACTAGTAGCTGGGAGCAGCGCTGGCACTGCATGGGCGGGTGGGGGGAGGGGAGGGGAAGAGAGGGAGAAATGGGGTGAAGGAGAGACACGTGAGGCATCCTCGATTCTGAGCGCCCTCCCCCCAACAAACGGCAAAGAGCCCCACATACTTGCACCACTCGCCATACCTGCACCACTTGCGGCGCGCTGGGCGGGGGCAGCATGGGCAACGCGGCCGCCTCGTCCTGCTGCTGCTGCGCCTGCATGTGCTGCAGCGGGCACATACATACCTTTTGAGGAGCATGTTCACACATAGCACCATACCTGCACCACTTGAGGCGCGCTCGGTGGCGGCAGCATGGGCAGCGCCGCCGCCTCGTCCTGCTGCTGCTGCGCCTGCATGTGCTGCAGCCGCCGCGTGAAGTTGGTATCCGACGCATCCGACATGTTCCCCGCGCCCGCCCCATAGTACTCGTCCTCCCCTCCCTGCTGCCCCCCCTGCTGCTGCATCATCTGCTGCTGCTGCTGCTGCCCCCCTCCCCCCATTTTCCGCCCCGCCCCGCTTCCCCCTCCCCCCATCATCCGCCCAGCATTGGCGCCCCCCTGCCCGCCCGACCACTGCTGCTGCTGCTGACGTGGCGTGGGCTGGAACTGCTGATCCTGCCCGTAATGCTGCGGCTGATCCTGGCCGTACATCCCGTCTTGATACCCCTCGCCTTCCCCCCCGCCGTACCCCCTTCCGCCTTGGGGGGAGTACATATTACCATCCCCCCCCGGGTACTGCCCTCCGCCTGCGCGGAACGGGCTCCCCGACCGATCGTACCCCCCTTGCGGCGTCTGGGCTGCGCTCCCCGCTCGACTCCCCCTTCCCCCTCCCGCTCCGCCCATCATCTGTCCACCGCCATAGCCGCCGCCGCCATCGTCGCCGCCGAACCCGCCTCCGGCGCCGTAGCCCGAGGGCGTTTGCGCGGCGCTGCTGCGCTTGAGCGCGGACTTCAGCAGCGGCTGTTGCGGCAGGGCCTGCTGCATTCCCTGCATGCTCATCGAATCGTCCGCGCCCGCGCCCATGGGGGACCGCGACCGGCTTGCGCCTCCTCCTGGCGCAGCGGACTTGCGCAATCCGCCCTGCGCGGGGCTTCCGCTTCTGCCCGCGCCTCCCCCGCGTCCGCCGCCTGCTCGTCTCCGCGCATCAACTTGCGTCAGCGACCGCCCCAGCTGCTCCTCCCCGCTTCCATCTCCCCCCCCTCCGCCTCCGCCTCCGCCTCCGCCTCCCCCTCCCCCGCCCATTCCCCCCCTCTCCCCCCCTTGCTGCGGAAAACCCGCCGCGGGTCTCCCCCGCGGCTTACTCCCCATCGTCATCGACCGCCCGAGATCCGATTCGGTCGGATCCTCGTCATCGTCGGGATGCGCCTGTTGCGGCGGCGCTCTCTGCTGACGTGGCTGCGCGGCACGGACATTTTGCTGCTTTCCCGGGGTCTTGCCGACCATGGAGAGCGTTCGGTTGAACCGCGGGGCGGCGGCGGGCTCCATGTCATCGTCGTCGTTCATCTTAGACTGCGATGGACGGTGGATCATGGAGTTGATGCGACTGAACTGCTTCTCCTGGCCGCCCTTGCTCGGGCCATCGCCGCGAAGCTTCGTTACCGTTGTGCGATCGCCCGGCGCTTTTTTGCGAACGACCGGGCGATCGTCGGATGCGTCTTTTAACGGGACCGTTCGTGTGGAGCCCTCCCGCGCCCGACGCTGCGGGGCGGGACCCCGCTCCATTTCCACCGGCTCTTAGCTAAAAGCCCACGCTTAGTCAGAAACCATCGCCACGTAGCGTGGAGGCATGAGCAGATTTAGTCACGAAAACCGTAACCTATCACCACAGGCGTCATCCAGTCGTGAACAACGCGGAATGCGGCCACGATCTCGCCGAAATGCAGGAAGTTGGCACACTGTGGCTGCTACAGAAAACCTTAGCAGGAACTAGGCTACGAGTTGTCCAATGAAGTCCAATCCAACCCTAGCAGGAACTGAGTCTGGCGCGAGCCTAGAGACTGGAGCTAAGGAAAGCTGGTGGATGGGTGGCCAGGGAAGAGGAGAGGAGAGGAGGCCTCATGCCAGTGCTGCAGTGGACACTTTTTGGCGGCAACAGTCAACAAGGGAGGAGGAAGGCGGGGGAGATGGAATCGAGGGAATCGATATAGGGGGCAGGCAGAATCAGTGGTGCTTTGGTAAGTGCGGTGGTGAACGAATGGCTGCTGTCTGTGACGACTCAGTGCAGGCTTTTGTAAGGGGCCCGGGATTTGCCGAACCACGGTAAGTGTCGTACTTAGCAGAAACGTACGGCTGGTGATAAGCTCGACCAGGTTGTTGGCATCATTTAAAAGTGGTTGGTGGGGGCTCGCTAAGAGTGACGGCATCTTGTCATGGTGATAAATGGGTTTGAAGTCCAAACACTTTGTATATTACTATATCATGGGGGCTATGTGTGACGTTTCACTCTATGCTTCCTTTCTGAGCATTTAAATAGTTACATCCCCACACAGCACTGGAAGTCAGATAACTAATGTCAGAATCATTCCCAATGTTTGTAGACATCAGGATGCAATGTAATGCGAAGTGGGATATACCCTATTGATGAGCACAGGGTCGTACCTTGGATACAAATGCATGATGTTGGAAAAGCAGTGCTATGTATTAGAAGGCAGAGCTTCAGTAGCGTAAGCTTGTGATCACTCTCATTATATTAATAAAAGCATGGCATGGTTCTATAGTGACTGGAGTGAGTAGGCTAGAAGTGAATGACGTAACGACACTACACTAAGTGAAGTAGTAGTGGCACGTGCTGCAAGGGGGTTGCTCCCGTGACCTAAGTGGTGTAAATAGACAGTCATGAATGGCCTTGTTTTGATTCTGAGGTACCCTGATTGCTCTGGGTCTCCCATTCTGTTAGCCTAGGTTTTTTTGCGTGTTCCTTCCTCCTCCCCCCCCCCCCTGTAGAATAGCAGAATGACTAAAAACAAGAGAGAATAAGGGAGATATAGGGTTCGAGTTGTACCCTCTAAGAACACTCACCTATCTAGCCTATAACTTCTACATACAAATATATGTATAAGTTGACACACCCCCTAGGCTAGATAAGGGGCAGTGCAGAGCAAGAAACACGCAACTTAGGGTGGCACTACTAGTCCAACCTCTGAGGCAGGGGTCCGAAGACCAGTCAGCAACAGTACAAACAGGAAAAGAGCAAACCATGGCGGCACTACTAGTCTTTCCACTGGAGGTGAAGCCACAAGGCCAGTCATAAATGTATATATATAAAGAGGAGTAATCAATCAAGGTCCTAGCAAGTGAGTAGCTACAAGAACTAGACCAAGCTGCAAACAGTGCCGCTGATGATCTTTAGGCGCAAGCGCCTTTGTAAAGATATCAGTTGTGTTGGCACCGAAGGCCAAGTGTACTACGCGGGCCTGACAACGCGGCTGTAGCTCGAGCAGAAGGAAGTACCGCAGCTGGATGTGCTTCGCTCTGCCCTCCAGTCGAGGCTCCTAACAAAGGAGGATCATGGCCATGTTGTCAGCGTACGAAACCAGGGCAGAGCTAGGCCGCTCACCTAAGTCGGTGAGCAAGAAGGTCAGCCAGCGGAGCTCCTGTGCTGCCATGGCACCGGCGTAGATCTCAGCCTCGCAGCTAGACTGTGCAACAGACGAGGAGCGAGTGGACCTCGACGAGATGGCACCCAAACCAAGGCTAAAGCAGTAGCCCTGGGAGGACCTGAGGGTCTCAGCGTCGTCTACCCAAGAAGCGTCTGTGTGCCCAGTAAGGACCACTGGCATGCGTCCTCCCAGCACTAGCCTCATGCCCGATGTACTTGCTAGATAACGCAAAACCCTCTTAGCGGCCGACCAGTGCTATGGTCGGTGTCTGCATGTGGCCACAAAGCGAGCCAGGATGCTGAGAGGGTATGCGAGATCTGGACGAGTGCAAGTCATCAGGTACATGAGGCAACCCACCAGCTCTGCGTAAGGACCATCGGGCTCTACTGACTCCTCTAGAACTGGAGCTTAGAGCTTGTGGTCTACTGGCAGAGGTGTGGGCTGTGCGGAGGAGAACTGAAGGCCGAACCTCTGAAGAACCTGGCGTACCAAGAGGGACTGTGTGAGAGTGATGGTGTGCGCTGCTCTGTCCCTGGAGATCTGAAGGCCAAGGTAGTGGCGCAGCTCTCCTAGGTCAGTGTAGGTGTGTCTCCTCATCAGCTCAGCCTGCATGGAGGTCAGTGCGTCTCTGTCTGCAATAGCGAAGACCAGGTCGTGTACGTAGGCAAGGATGTAGAACGTAGTCTGGCAAGCACTAACGAAGGGCGAGGGGTCTGCAGAGGATGGAAAGAACTGCAGGTCAACTAGCGTAGCACGCAGCGTGTCATGCCACTCATGGGGCGCCTGTCGCAGGCCGTAGACCGGGCGCCGGAGGAGCCACTGGGTCCCAGGAGGAAAAGCAACGGTGAAGCCCAGTGGCCGACGCAGATAGACTTGCTCGTGTAGGCTGCCCTGAAGAAAAGCAATGGAGAAGTCGAGCGAGTGGACTTCGTAGTCATGCTGTGCTGCTACGTGTAGCAGCACCCGAAGATTAGTCATCTTTGGGGTCGGGGCAAAGGTTTGAAAGAAGTCCATCCCCTCGCGCTGACTAAAGCCTCTAGCCACGTGGCGCGCCTTGAACACATGCGACTATCGAAGGGGGCGCTTCACCGTGAAGAGCCACCGACCATCGACTACGTTCACCCCAGGTGGGGGAACTGCGTCGACCTACGTGCCAGTGGATCTCCAAGATGCCATCTCCTGTTCCACGGTAGCTATCCATTGAGAGGCCCAGGGTCCCGAGGTCGCCTCAGCGTAAGTGCGAGGGGTCAGGATGTCAAAGGCATCTGGGTCACCCTCAGGGACTAGCAGCATGGAACAAAAATGGGGAGCAGCCTTAGACAGGAAAGCAAGCTCGTACTGCATCTCCTCTAGAACGTTGGTGCCAAGGGCAGGAGCACCTCCGACGGACGGAGAACAGACAGGGTTAGAGACCAAAGCTGTCGCATAGTCAAGGCGGCGGGTGGAGGCAAAGTTAGCGACAGCAGCGACAAGAGCGTCAAGACTCGAGACAGGAATAGACGGGTCAGTAACAAGGGAGGCAAGGACCCGAGAAACAAGAGGACGAGCGGCACGAAGGTAGTCAGATAGAGGGGGAGGCGCGACAACAAGCGACGACGGAGGATGCAAAGGCAAGAGAGGAGGACGAGACGCATGGAAACGAAGCAACATAGGGTGAGAATGTTGAACAGGAGAGAAAGGGCAAGCACGGGAGGGACGGCGAGACCAGACGTGAGACGGAGGCGTCTGGTCAGGAGAGAGAGGAGGAGACACAAGAGGGGAACGAGGGGGAAGATGAGCCAGTGACGAGTCCGGCGGAGGGAACACAGGGCCGTAGACAGGAAGAGGAGGAGGGGCCGGGGAAGGCGCAGGCGAGCAGTCAAGGGAGGGAAGGCCGAGCAGGCGAGGGGCCGGCGTGCGCGAAGGGCCGGCGAGGGGCGCGAGGGGCCGGGCAGGTGCGCGAGGGGCCGGCGAGCACGCGAGGGGCCGGCATGGTGTGCGCGGGAGCAGGCGGGCACGCAAGGGGCAGGCGGGGGCGCGAGGGGCCGGCAAGGCACGCTAGGGACCGGCGGGTACGCGAGGGGCCGGCGCGGCGCGCTAGGGGCCGGTGGGGTGCGCTAGGAGCTAGCGGGCACGCTAGAGGCCGGCGGGGTGCGCGAGGGGCCGGCGGGGCGCTAGGGGCCGGTGAGGTGCGCTAGGGCCGGCGGGGCACACTGGGGGCCGGTGGGGCGCCAGGGGCCGGCGGGGCGCTAGGGGCTAGCGGGGCGCGGTAAGGCTAGGGTACGACGGGGCGGTAGGCTAGGGCGAGGGGCGGAAGCGGGTGGGCGGACCTAACCTACTATGATACCATGTTAGAATAGCAGAATGACTAGAAATAAGAGAGAACAAGGGAGATATAGGGTTGGAATTGTACCCTCTAAGAACACTCACCTATCTAGCTTATAACTTCTACATACAAATATATGTATAATTTGAGACCCCCCCCCCCCCCCCCCCCCCTCTCCTCAGAACAATTGAAGTTACTTTCAAAATCTTAGCTGAACGGTCACACTATGTGCAGGAGACATGTGTGTAGCGAATTTAGTGAAGTGCCAATGAAGTTGTGCAATGCTCTTAGTGCTGGAGGCAGCGAGGCACCAAGTGAATCGGCCAAGTGTGGCCACCTGGCGGAGAACGATCAGCCAGGTGTGAGTGACGGCGTTGCAAGGGAATCATGCACAAATCACCCCTCCTCCCCTCCCCCCTCCTCCTCCCTTTCTGAAACGCGTTGTATTACAAGAATCAATGTAGCCCGCCACGATATATTGGCCGAGGCGACAGGGCTCACTACAATAGAAGTGCAGTACAAACAGAGTTCACGCTTAACAATGGCATGATATTGCAGGGTTGTGTTGCAAAAAAAAATGCCGAATCAAGGTTTGCGTGGAATGTTATGCTACTATTATTGGCATATGGTGTGTGAGAAATATAGCATGATATCAGCAACTCATTTCCAATACTCTAGTGATGGTACCATCATGAAATTATAACATAAAATATATATAAATATATGAGATATACAATACCACATGTGAGATATATTCTACTATGATGCATATTATTCTTAAGGTTTCTAGTATCCAATGATGGATAATGCTGTTGAAAGGTCTATTTATAATATTATAATTTCAAGTCATGTTAAACCATACAAATGTTTATTACACGAGGGAGCCGAAGTTGCACAATTGCAAGATATCTTATTATGTAAAGTGCAACCTATGTATCATATATGTTTGTACATTTTGGTATGTTGAATGAGAGATGTATTGAGCTGAGCTGGAGTTAGCTGACAACTGACCAACCGCGCTAGGGTTTCGGTAACCTTGTGTTCGACACTTCTTCCAAGTCCCCTGTGGCTCCAAGCCAACCATATCTCCAAGTCCCCCGTGGCTTCAAGCTAACCTTATC